CAAGTTAACTGTTTGCACTACCCAGGTTTCCACTAGAGCCCCAGCACAAGACCTCTAATCCAATAGGGGGCAGCAGAAATGCAAAATCAAGTTGGCAGAACGTCCTTCCTTTAGGAAATGGCTACTAAGGATCAAGGAGACTTTTCTTTGCTTATAGCATTGCAAACATCAGCTTACTGCTAAATTAAAAAAAGAGATACCAAAGGTTTCCAGAAGTTGGAGCAGAAGTGCAGTTGAGGTCAAAGGAGAAATGCTGAGCAAGAACAGCCAATACCAGCTCTTCTTTGAGGAAGCTGCTGCTGCGTACGTGTAGGTAGTTTTCCAAGCAGCACCTGCTAGGGTAATGACTGCATCAAGAATTGCAATTTCTTCATCAGCATATGTTTGTTCTGGATGGCCAACAACCATGATACAGTGGAAACCATTCTTGTACCTCTGAAGATCTGATGCTGCCTTTTTTTACTTTACTGGCAGGAACCCCAGTTGTCATTGCTTTGTACTGAACTCAGCTCATCAACAATTCAAGAGAATTTAATAATCACATGCTAGTAGGAGTCCTGGTGTGGCACAGTGAGTTAATGAGCCAGACTGCAAAGCTGTTTGAACTGCAAGGTCAGCGGTTCAGGCTTACCAGCTGCTCCTCGGAAACCCTATAACAGGGTCTCTATGGGTCAGAATCGACTCATTGGCACTTAACAACAACAATAGTAGTAACAAAAAGTTATCTATTGGCACTTAACAACAACAATAGTAGTAACAAAAAGTTATCTATAAATATTCTGTAATGATTTTGAATCACAGATTACAAATGACAAATAATGGATTTCTTAGGGAAAAAAAAGTATAAACCATATGTAGTAAGACCTGTGAAAGCCAGAACCTATGCAAGTTGGAAGCCTGTCAGAGAAGGAAAGCTCAGGTGTTTCACACTGAGGAGTGATAGAGAAGTGCTGAGACTGTACCCAATTGAAGGCAGGAAACTTGTGTGACCTGGACAACAATACAGTCCCATCAAGTTCCAGCTCTCACAGACACCACTGTATCTAGTAAGGCACTTGTGTTTAGAATACATAAAGAACACTTAAAACGCAATAAAGAGACAGCCCAATTTTTTTAAATGAGCAAAAGATCTGAATAGGCATTTCTCCAAAGATTGAAATGGCAAAAAAAAAAAAAAAAAAACACCACATGAAAAGATGTTCATCGTTAGCCATCAGGGAATTGCAAATAAAAATCATTAAAAGATAGCACATCACACCACTGTTATTAGGTGCTGTCAAGTTGATTCCGATTGATAGTAATCCTTTGTATAATAGAAGGAAACTGCCTGGTCCTGTGCTGTTCTCCAACTTTGATTATGTTTGAGCCCATCGTTGTATCTGCTCTCAGTCCATTTCTTGGAGCTTTTAATTAGATAAGTATTGGTGAGGATGTGGAGAAATTGGGACCATGATATAGTGCTAGTGGGAATATGAAATGAATAGTACAACTGATCTGAAAAGTAATCTGACTTTTTCACAAAAGGTGAACTAAAGAATTGTATGATAACCAATTCCACTCTTAGGTACATCCAAGCGAACGAAAACATATATTCACACCAAAACTTCTACACGAACATTTATAGCAGCATTGTTCATAGTAGCCAAAATGTAGAAACAGTCCACATGAAGTGGAATGTAGAAACAACTGATGAAATGGACAAACAAAATGTAGTATGTCTACACAATAAGATATTATTCAGCAGTTTTTTAAAAATGAACTGCTGCTATGGACTGAATTATGTCCTCAAAAAATATGGTGAAGTCCTAACCCCTGAACCTTGAATGCAACCTTATTTAAAAATAGGATTTTTTCTTTGAAAATGTTACCAGTTAAGTTCGGAGGTCATACTGGAATAAACCAAACCAAAATCAAACTGATTGCCATTAATTGATTTTTACTCATAGTGACCATTACAGGACAGGGTGGAACTGCCCTATTGAATTTCCAAGACTGTAGTCTTTATGAAACAGACTGCCACATCTTTCTCCCATGGAGCAGCTGGTGGGTTCAAACTGCCAAACTTTTAGTTAGCAGCTGAGCTCTAGGCACCACATCACCAGGGAATAGGGAGAGCTTATAAAATGGAAAAGCAGATGGAGACAGAGTCACACAGAGTAAGATACCAGGTGAAGATCACATCTACAAGCCAAGGGAACCCAAGACATGGTTGAGGCTACTAGAAACTACACAGGACAAGAAGGGGGCTTCCCACCTGGAGTGGACAGAGAGCATGGCCTTGAATTTGGACTCCCAGAACTGGAAAACAATACCTTTGCTGTTCTGTAATCCACCTGCTTGGGTATTTTGTACAACGACAGCCTTAGGAAACTAAGATAAATTGGTACACATGCTACAACTTGAATACACCTTATGAAAACATTATACTATGTGAAAGAAGTCAGTAATAAAAACCATGTGTTTTATGGTTCCATCAGGACTAGGGAGCCTGGAAAAAATGGGAGTGACTACCAAATGGGGTTTCTTTCTGAGGTGATGGAAATTTTTAAAAATTGATTGTGGTGGTGATGTTAAAACCCTGCATATATTTTCAGATCTAGCTGGGTGAGTTGTGTGGTATATGAATTAGACAAATGAGTGTTCCCTAGAAAATGGAATTTAGTGTACATAAATCAAGAATAGTAAGCTCTTTCAGCAGTATTGTAGAACTGAAGAGATTTGTAGGGAAATTCAGGCCTCTTGAGCTAGTTTTCCTATCCACTTTCTTGGGATGCTAAATAGCTCTAGCCATCGCTTTGAGGGATATGATTCTTAAAAATCCTTATAAGCCACACATCACAGTGACTCTGGGAGGAAGAGGCCAAGCTGCCTGTGTGTGTCTCTTCCACCACAAACATTTATTACTGAGGACATTCATTGTGCCTGCTTACTCTCTAGCCTGCCTCTCATGCATTGTCAGTCCCATGAGCTTGGTGACAAGGGCTTCGAGGCTCTAGCAGAACCCATGCAGCAGAGCCAGCAATTGACGTGATAGTTCTTGACGTTCTCTCCACCCGCCTTTTGACACTTAAAATCATTTAGCAGCTGGGCCAAGGAGTCCCAAGCATGGAAACTGAGCAATTATTATAGATTTGGTAGTAGTGGTGGTTGTTTTCCCCATGTACATGCAAATATATGTGAACAAATAGAATTTTCTCCAGTAAATTTTTTCTTCATATCTTTGCTGACTACCACTATATTTGCCATCAAGAGCTTATTGGTGGTGGTGTTATGTGCCGTGGAGTGGGTTCCGAAAGTCATAAGCGAACAATCACAGAAAAACTGAGTTTACTACTTTTATTTGCTACATATTTGCATGTTATGAACGTATGTCAGGTATTGTTTTAAGCACCTTAAATACACTGAATCCTTCCATCTTCACAACATTGACAAGGAGGGTGCTGTTATCATCTGCCCTATTTTACAGATGCCAGTGGATGCAAATGCTCAAGAGAGGTCAAATAATTTACCCAAAACCATAGCAGAGATGGGGTTCAAATCTAGTAGTCTGGCTCCAGTGTCTACTCAGAATGATTGTTGCTGTTCAGTCATGCTTCATTCAGAATTTGTCTTCAGTTCCAAGGCTGTGAGTCGATAGTGGTACAGAGTAACTGGGAAGATAATTCCAAGTCTGGAGGGCAGAATAAGTTAGATCCTTAGGTCATGATACCATGCAGAAATCAACATGACTTCTGAGTGTGCCTTACCTGCATGTTTTTGATAATCACTGCTCTACAGACATCACCTACCTTTTCTGGCTTTTCCAAAAGTTCTTTAGGGCAACAGTTTCAGTGTGAGCTTGAAAAAGGACCTTGTTTGTTGCTGATTCATCCATTCACCTCAGAGATAAGGAAGTAAGGGGACATAACTGCTCAAGTTGTGCAGCCTCTCCTGACTGCCCCGTGCCCTTACTGTTAAAACAGCAGAGCACTAATGCTGATTGAAGCTTCCTAAGAACCAGGCACTGCGCTCTTCTGTTGTTCACAGTCGATCCTCACAGTAACCCTAGCTGTCCACCGTACTGCTGCTGTCATTTCCGTTTAACAGCATAAGCTAAGGCCCAGAGAGAAGATGACTTGTAGAATTGTAATGGTTTACCTTAAAGCCCAAAGCACAGTACCTGGCCTGTCAAACCAAAGAAATAAGTTGTCATGAAGTGGATTCCAACTTCTTGTGACCTCATGTGTGTCAGAATAGAACTATGCTCCATGGGGTTTTCAGTGGCTGATTTTTTCAAGGGTAGATCACCAGAGCTTTCATCCAAGACTCTCCTCTGGGTAAGTTAGAACTGCCAACCTTTATAGCTGCTAACTGAGCACTTAACCAGTGAATCACCCTGGGATGCCTCATGACATATCTGGTGTCCCTAAATGTTTTACTTCACTGCTGTTGTTAGTGATAATGATAGTGGGTAAATGAAATCCACTGGGAGATAATACATTCATCTGTATTACCAGTGTCAGTTGTTTAACTGTTTGCTTAGAAAGTTGAACCTTAGAAAACTTCAGAGGTGCTTATTTCAATGGAAGTGGGGAATCTTGAGAAAGTGTCCCCCTTTCATGGAATCCAGGCTGATGCCCCGAGTGCTGAGTCATTTGTGACTTGAGCACTCCCTTTGCTGCCAGATGTTTGTCCAGCACTTTTTGGGAAGTTTGATGGTAGCATGAAAGGGGCATGTGGGGACGGGATGGATTAGGTTGCTGTATTGGCTATGTTGGAATATTTTTATGTTAAGTTTATGAGACCAGAATAGAATGCAGTGTCACTTTTTCTAAGTTTCTAAGCGTGTCTGACTACTGGGATCTTGGAGTTTTTATCACTTTTCGAAGTCTTGGTTGTGGGCTCAGGGCCCACCCAGTCTATTGGCTCTGTACCTCAAGTTTGTTTGGAGCAGATTTGAGGAGCAGAAGCATGTTTCCTCACAAGTTGTGACTCACCCTCTCTCCTGGTGGCTGTTCCAGCCTCCATTGTGTTCCCTCCTCCAGGGGCTTCTGAGGAGAATGGCCTGCCTCACACTTCAACTAGGACCCAGCTGCCCCAGTCAATGAAGATCATGCACGAGATCATGTACAAACTGGAAGTGCTCTATGTCCTCTGCGTGCTGCTGATGGGGCGTCAGCGAAACCAGGTGGGCTCCTCCCCGAAGTCTTAGAGCTGGGGGAGCTAAAAGCACTCATTTCCTGAGTGCTGATGGTGTGTCAAGGCCTTTGTTATGCCTCCTCCCAGAATGGCTCTCACTCACCCAGGAAAGCACAGAGGGTGGTTTAACGGATCCTCGTGTTATGCTTAAGGACACAGGTCTGATTCCAGAGCTTGTAATCTTCATTGTACCTTGCTATGGGCTCCATTTCCAGACAGGGCATTGATATGCAGGTTGGGAGTGGGCCGCTTAGTGACATTACTTGACCTTGTTAATGTGAAAAACAAAGAGTCGATGTCTGCAGGATGACAGTGGAGGAGTTGCCAGTGTGATGGGGCAGAACCTAGAGCTATGTCAAGTTATGAAAACTGGGTTACAACGGGGGCTCCAGATGTGCACTGGGGTTTCCTGTGCCTTGAAGCAATTCTAGGAGGAAGGAACAAGAACCTCCAACCGATTATAAGAGCAAGGTGACTCTGGAAGTGTACAGCACTCCTCAAGATTGAGGAGAGGTGGCTCTCTCCAGCTAGTTGTGTCCTTGGGATGGTTTCTTCTAGAAATAGAACTAGCCAGGAAGGAGATGGGGGCAGTTTAGTGGGAAGGGAACCTAGGGGCCCTGAATTCCTTATGTGCCATATTGAATCGGACATTGGACTAACCTTGTTCCTCACAACAACTGTGAGGTAGGTGCAAGTAGTTCCATTTTACAAGTGAGAGGGAATAGTTGTTCCTTGTCAGGAAGCTGGTAAATAGTGGAGTAGAATTCAAGTCCAGTTCTTACGTTAGGACTTTTTTGTTGTTAAGTGCCATCGAGTTGGTTCCTACCAGGATTTAGATGATGATAAATGTTGGGCGGCGGGGGAACCTTAGAAAGGGACAGGGGAGAGGTGATGGGTAAGTTTAGATTGAAGATCAGGGAAACTGATTTTTTGAAAAGATGATCTTTGGCATGTCAGTGTCCTGAAGTAAATGAGAGCTGGCTGTACTAATAGTCGGGTCAGCCTACCAGACAGAGGAAGCAAAGACACAGGAGTTGTGGGGGCAGACCTCATATATGTTGTGTAGGTGAATGGACTGAAAAAAGGTAAGAAAACATCTGAGGTGATATGTGGCCAGATCACATTTGGTTTTTGTAGGCCATTTGAAGGACTTCGGTTTTCACTCTGAGTGAAATAGGAAGTCATTCTTCTGGCTGCTCTTTTAAAGACAGAAAGGATGGAAGTGGGGTGATACATTATGTGCTCTTGTTGTAATCAAACCAAGAGATGATAGCAGCTGGGACCAGCATATTGGTTGTGAGAAGTGCTTACATTCTGGATCTGTTTGGAAGGTGGAACAAATAGGATTCGCTGATGGTTTGAATGTGGTGTTTGAGAAAGAGGAGGAATTAGGATGACTCCTAAGGTTTTGTGTGTAAGCAGATGGGAAGATGGATCTGCCATTTATCGAAATGGTTTCAGATCAGAAAGAGGAGGAGAGGAGTGGGCTTAGGGAGGAAAATGTGTTTAGTCTTGAACAAGTTAGGTTTGGTGTGTGAGAATCGGCACTGGAATTACTTGCACGTGGAGTTAGGAGAGAGGTTGGGGGCTTTGGGAGTCACCAGCATAGAGTTGGTATTTGAAGCTAGGACCTGGATAAATCCAGTTCATTGTGCTGATCACCCACAATACTGGTGCTCCTTCCCTCAAGATGGAATGCATTTTTATAAAAATATTAGTAATGATATCTTCCATGCATTGCATGCTTTAGTTTTCAAAGGCACATTCACAGTGATGTGCATTTGTATTTTTGAACATTTGCTAAGTTACGTAACAGATAGTGGGACCTTTCCCTGCACTTGCTATGTGAGAAAACCAAGCACAGAGAGCCGTGCTCTGGGCTGCCAAGCATTGAGAGCCCACATTAAACTGCTGCCCTGACTCTTCTTTCTGCCACCTCACTGCCACAGTGTCCTGTTCCCTGAGCCTTCCTGATAGCCTGTTTCTATGAATCATGTGGTCTCTTAACACTACAGTTGTATCTCTACTTTCTTGGGTAGACTGTCAGCTGGGCTTAGAATTCCTGGCCGACTGAGAACTCATGTCTCACTGGCACATTCTCATTTACAGTCAGCCGGCACTTGCTCAGCTTCTGCTGTGCTGTGTGCAGGCACGATGGGGACACGGACCTACAGACGCTGCCTTCAGGGAGCTGATGGTCTAAGGTAGCTAATTAGGGGAGCGTCCTGTGTGTGTGCCACTGACCAAGTTCTCTTACCCATCTGGGCTCACTTGAAATCATGAGACTGGAAACTCCATCCCACTGGTGCTCATGAAAATCATCGGCAGAGCAGTCACTCTCTGAGCCAGGCCCTGAGCTGCCCCCTGACCACGTTCACTCAGCAGCTTTCTTAACATTATACTTTGGCAAGTGTTCAGCTCACTACATATAAAAGACCTTGATTCCTTTTTACTTGTGCCTTGTGTCCCATTAAGGAGCCCTGGTGGCACTGTGGACTGTGAACTCCAAGGTCAGCAATTAAAAACCACCAGCAGCTCCATGGAAGAAAGATGAGGCTTTCTGCTCTCATAAAGATTTACAGCCTTGGAAATCCTGCATAGACTCACTGTGGCTCAGAATCAACTCGATGGCAGTGGGTACTGGGTATATCATCATTTATTTAACTGATCCCTGTTGATGGCGGTATAGGTTGTGTGATGCTGCCATGAGTAGCTTTGTACTTAGTCCACTGAATGTTTATACTCTCAGGTCCCCCCAGCAGTGTGTGAGGTGCCTGATGCCACACCCTCACCAACACACTTTTTTTTCCCCCTTTTAGTGTGTGATAGTTTACATGGGGGAACATTAGCTTTACCCTCATTCTATCATACATCGTTTCATTGCCATAGTTACCATCCTGTCCATGCATCATCACCCAACCAAAGGTTATACCCCGCAGGAACCCCCCTCTCTCCCCACAGTCCTCAGCACACAGCTCCCTTCCCTCCCTGGATCTCAAGTCCTCAGCCACTCCATCTCTTCATGTCATCCTCTCTGTCTCGGTCTCAGGCCTCGCTGCTTCTCTGGGTGGGGTCCCGATCTCTACTCTTCTCCAGTGATGGTCCCAGGGGCCTCCGCTCCTAGACTGAAAGGTTAATCACATCCCTCCTTGCTATAAAATATCCACCTTTACCTTTCCAGTCCTCACAATCCATCCTGATAACAATTATTCACCCCTGCATCACAAGAGACCCATCCGCATTTCTTTTCATCATCCCTTCCTAGACAGGTTGGATATTACTCACTTAAGACTCCACCCTCTTCCCCGCTCTGTCAATCTAGGATCCCTCTTGAAAGCTTGTAAGCCAGTCACTTCCTTCCTTTGTATCCCTCCCCCCATTTTGGGTAGCCAATGTTCAAGTTGCCCAGCCCTATACTGGACATATTGTAACCCCTTTTTAGGTATTCCAGTCAGTTCCAGGCAGAAGATGGACTTACAACAAGCTTTCTATGGTGGTATTTCTGGTTATTCCTCCCTCTACTCTCCCGTGACTGTTATATAATATAAAGCATGGAAAACCAAGGTTCAAGAGTCACCAACACACTTTTATAAAACTTAGTTGTCAGTTTGAAAAAGTGAAAAATGACTTCTAATTGGCATTTCTCTTTATACTATAAGTGAAGTTGAATACCTTTAATATATTTCAGAACCTTTTCTGTTTTCTGTGTCCTGTCTGTCTCCTTTGCACATCTTTCTTGGAGGGTTGGTGTGGTGGTGGTGGTGGTGGTGGTTTTAAGAGTTTGAGGTCTCCGTATAAAGGAAAGCTGCTCTCTGCCTGTGTGGAAGTTGCTGATCCGTTCTCCATTTGCATGTTGCAGAGGTTTTCTACACAGAATTTTAAAAAGCTCATGTGGTTTGGTTTAACAATTCTTTTTTCGTTCCTGCGTTTATAACGTATAATACCTTAGGGCTTTCCTACTCTTAGATTAATTTTTTAAAATTTCTTCTCACACATTTTTTCTAGGATCGTTTAGAGTTTAATTTTTCAGTCTTTGTATCTTAATTGGAATTTATCCTAGTGTAACGTATGAGGAGTATTTTCATTTTAATGATGGTGAAAATACTAAGTTAGTAGAGTTTGTACACGCAGAGCGGAAAATCAAGCCCAGGGCTAAGTTGGAGCCTAAACTCATGCTGTTGAGATAGCTAGGACCTACCATACAGTAGCACTCATAGGATTATTGTAAGGATTGATGAGCAGAGTTTTAAAGCATATGTATGTGTAGTAGAGGGTGGGGTGGTGAGGGGTACGGTATGTGTAGCTGTTTCTCTAAATCTCAATACTGGATACTGACTGTTGCTTTCTTCCTCCTGAGATTATTATTGGATGTGCTGAGCATGAGACTCAAATCATGTAACACATCTGTCTTAACTGCTTTCCCTTCCTGCCCATCCAGGTTCACAGAATGATTGCAGAATTCAAGCTGATACCAGGGCTCAATAATTTGTTTGACAAGCTGATTTGGAGGAAGCATTCTGCATCTGCCCTTGTCCTCCATGGTCACAACCAGAACTGTGACTGTAGCCCGGTAAGCAAGGGGCCCTGGGATAGATGGGACTTGACTTGTCAGGAGTCTGCTGCTGCTGCTGCTGCTGACCCTTTCTACTCTTTTTTTTCCTTGGGAACAGAGCAGAGACTTAGGGTGTGGTGCTGTGGCAAGTCCTGGTGTGGAACTAGGGCTCCGGCCTGCTGTACCACTCAGTGTGAATGTTTGAGCCTCTCTTTTCTTGTCCTGGACTGCAAGGTCAGCAGTTCAAGCTCCTCGAAAACCCTATATAGGGTCACTATGAGTCAAAATCAACTCAGCAGCACTTAACAACAACCTCAGTGGAGGATCTGGCTCTACCCCTCCACTGATGCAGAAATCCCTTTGGAGACATTACTGCCTCAGAACACTAGCCAGCCTCCCCTTGTATGTCCAGCATGGGGAGCTCACGTCCCTCCAGTAACTAGCAGCATTTGTTTCCTTATTCTGTGCTCTTCATATCATACCAAAAAAGGGCTTTAGGATGCCTTCCCCCTTCCCCCACAAGTATCAAGAACTCACCTGTACCTCGTCTCTCCCAAGGACCCTAGAGAGAGCACCGAGCTGGGGCTCAGGCCTGTTGTGCCACTCAGTATGAACCTTTGAGCTTCTGTTTTGCCAACAGAAGACAATACTTCCTCGCCCTGTTGGCCTTGTAGGCTTGCCCACCATGATGAGTGGAAAAGTGCTCTGCCCTGCATTCTGGGTAGTACCCTCAGAATGCTCTGCCACTTCAGCATTTTTCCCTTTGGATTTGTCAGATTATCTGTTCAGCTCATCCATTGGAGCTTTTTATTTCAGGTGAACATATTTTGCATTATATCTGAGTCTTTTTTCAAAAACGTCTTGGTCTTTGTTCATTGTGTTGCAGTCAGTCTTTTCCCTAGAATTCTGTTGCATTCTCATCTCTTTAATCATTTACAGTGTGCTTTCTTGTGGTCTCTTTAAGATTGCTCACAGGATACTACTGCTTTCAGTGGAGTCCTCAGAATTAGGACTTCATATTTTTATAATGTTTCTGGAACGCTGCTCTTGAGAGGGGTTTTTTTTTCCCAGTAGATAGCTGGGTACCGTGGGTCCCGGAGGTAACTTTGCAGAGCACATTTGCTTTTGTTTCTCCCAGATGCTTTGAGTGTACAGCTGGCCCAGAGTCCGTTTTTATGTGCAGTGTCTTGGCTCTAGCTCCCTGGTATGAGCCACAGGGTTTCTGCTTCTTGTGGAAGGCTCCCCTCCAACCACCAGCGAGACAAGCTTCTTTGTCAGCTCCTTGGGCTGGCTGGTGGTGTTGTTAGGTGCCATCAAGTTGGTGCCAACTCATAGCGACCTTATGCACAGCAGAACAAAACACTGCCCCATCCTGGGCCAACCTCAGTACTATTGCCACGCTTCAGCCCATTGATGCTGCCACTTGGCCAATCCATCTTGCTGGGGGTCTTCCTCTTTTTCTCTGACCCTCCACCTTACCAAACATGGTATCCTTCTTGCCCCTCCTGACAATATGTCCCAAGTATGAGAGACGAAATTTGGCCATCTTGACCTCCAAAGAGCACTCTGGCTGCACTTCTTCCAACACAGATTTGTTGGTTCTGTGGGCAGCCCATGGCACTTTCATATTCTCCTCCAACACCATAACTCAAAAGCATCAATTCTTCTGTGGTCTTCCTTATTTACTGTCCAACTTTCACATGCATATGAGGTTATTGAAAATACCATGGCTTGGGTCAGGCACACGTTAGTCCTCAAACTGACATCTTTGCTTTTCAACACTTTAGAAAGGTCGTGTGCAGCAGATTTTCCTAATGCAGTAGTCGTTTGATTTCTTGACTGCTGCTTCCATAAGTGTTGATAGTTGATCCAAGAAGAATGAAGTCCTTGACAACTTCAGTTACGGAGTTTTTCCACTGTTCTTTTACCATGTTTTTAAACTTCCCAGGTGTTAGACACACCAAGGTTCTGTCTGGTACCTGCGTGGCATCCAAACCCAAGCCCAGGCATGAGTCGGTCTCGTGTCCACTCCTCCCCCTCCCCAAGAGCCGCTGCATCAGTCCTGTGCTCCCTGTTCTGAACTAAGTCCTTTCTTCACTGCTGACTCTCTGGGGGTCCATTTCTTCCTCAGGACCTCAGCCTGATATTTGAAAGAACTTTGTCATTTCTTAGCCAGTATGTTGGCCTGTTGGTTTACTGCATTACCTGTCAGGTGTGGGAGTTAATGAACGGTTTTAAAGAAAAGTCCCCAATGTGCATGAGTAGAGGGCTTCAGAGAAGCCAAGTGACATGGCCAGACTCACCAGAACTTCTGGCTGTTCTTGGAGCGTTGCAGCTGTGATATTAACACTGAGGATATACATTACCTTCTAGGACATCACCTTGAAGATACAGTTCTTGAGGCTTCTCCAGAGTTTCAGTGACCACCATGAGTAAGTATGAGAGCACCCCTGGAAGAGAGGTGTTGGGTCATCTCCCAGTGGCCTCTTCTTTTCGCTTCACTGACCTTAGCTCAGGAGAGAGAGCTAGGAGCTGGTGAACAGTCTACTTTCACCTCAGAGCGGCCAGCCCTTTGGCTTATCCCACCTTTCCTCAATGCCAGGCACTGCACTGAGCTTCCCCTTAACTCTCGCAGCTGCCCTAGGAAGCAAGCAGAAAGTGGTGACCCTTGGAGTCAGTACATGTCTCAGCCCTCTGTCCCTCTGAAGTAGGAGTGGACAGAGTAGAGGCCACAGCAGCCATATAGGAACCTCAGGTGGGCAGAGGCAGTGTGTGTTTGTTTACCTGTTGAATAGATGGACTGTTCTTCACCACCACAAGAAAATGTTCTCTCTCCCACTTTTCTGGAAACATGTATTACTCTCATTTATTTTTCAACTTCATTAGAAAAAGACTAGGAAAATAATTGTGCTATCTAAGGAAAACAGAGCAGGGGAAGGATGAATGACAATTGACCCTTGACCATGATGTTGGAAGGATCTTGATGACCTGGGACATACAGGCAGCAGCTGCCTAGCTGGGCCCACTATTACATAGCTTCTGGTTTTGTCCCCCCAAGGAAAACAAAAAGTTAAAACTTGCATATGAAAAGATTATGTTTTTTTTTTTTTTTTTTTTTTTATAATTGGGGAAGTAAAAAAAAGGAGGTGATCAGTTGTAGCACTGTTATTATTTTTTTTTTTTTTTTAAGATTAGCCTTATTTCAAGTGAAGCTTTGTATGAGCTAGTAGCCCTTAACCCAGAGACCTCTGCTTTGTAACTTTCATCTTGTCCTGTGTTAGCCATCCTCTTAGAGAGGTTCTCTGTGTAAAGGACATATAGGGGCACCAGGAGGTAGGTGAATCTCCTGAAAAATGGTTCCAATATATTAATAATTTGTTCAGTTTTTGTTTTTGTTTTTAATTTCTGAGCAAGTGCAAGCTTAGCTTTTATCAGCTTCTTAAATCTGAGCACTTGTATGTGCAGACACGATGCTAGGCTCTGGGAATACAGTGATGAGTGGGGATCGTCAGAATCCCTATTGTTATGAAGGGGTTAGTGTGAGCAGTGAAACAGACATTAATCAGAGACTCACACCATTGGATGTACAGTGAGAAGCAGAGATTGTATTGAGGTGAAAGAGTGTGGTTCTGTGAGAGAACTTTTGGCAAGGGTCCTGACCTGGCTAGAGCGTAGTCAGGGACCTTGTCCCAAAGAAGCAACTTGTCAACTGGGCCTCATGTGTCAGGCATAGTTAGTTGGGTAAAAAAGGATGAAGTCTCCCTTTCTAGCGTGTTTTAGCCAAAAGCTGTAGCACGCACAGAGGTCCCACACAAAGGGGCAGCAGGTGTTCGGGTGTTGTGCAGACTGTGATTTTGGGGCTCAGCTTAGCGTGAGGCTGGAAAGTTCACTGTTGGTCCCATCATGCAGGGCCTTGGGACTCACACTTGGAGGCTTAAGTGTGATTTCTTCAAAAGATGGTGTGAAGCTGTGGAAATGTTTCAATGAGAGTGGGGTGATTAGATTCCTGTTTTCTGAAATCGCTCGGGATTCTGTGTGAGGTATTGATTTTTTAGGGAAGGATCATCTTAAGGTCTTTGAGTTGCTCGCATGGCACTGATGGCTGGGCAGTGTACATGACTTGTTTGACAACAGGCCTCCTGGTGGGAACACTGAACTAGGACTAGGCTTGAGAAGTTAAACAATGCACTTGATTTGAACTGGTTAAGTTGGAGGTACTTTTGAGAAATCAAATAGATAATTTCCATAGGAAAAAGAAAGGTGGGGAGATGCTGGAAGAGGCCTTGTTCCAGGAGGATGGCAGTCAGATGGGTGGGTGTTAGGGCCGAATACCAACTCCAGGAGTATGAAGCACTGGGAGAGAAAGCACTCTCCACCTCCCTGCTCACGCCCAGGCTGACACAGCAACCGTATTATTTCAGGAACAAGTACCTGCTGCTCAACAACCAAGAGCTGAATGAGCTCAGTGCCATCTCTCTCAAGGCCAACATCCCTGAGGTGGAAGCAGTCCTCAACACTGACAGGTGGGTGGGGTGTAGCTCAGAGTCCCCACCCGGGCTGCCTGCTGGTCCTGGGCTTCACAGCGGCACACCCAGGCAAGCGTGGTGTAGCTTCTGTGTCCCCATTCCCATGTCACTCATACATGCATAGGCATCTTTGCTGACCGGCTCACAGAGCAAGCTCCCCAGCCTCTGCCAAGAGCTCAGTCCCATTTCCTAAATGCAAATTCTGTGTCTGGCACATTCCTGGGAGGTTTGCCTCGTCTTTAGAGCAGAGTTGGGGGAACTCCCTCCAACAACGAGAACTTGGATTCCCCAACTTTTTTTGTTTGTTTGTTTTTTTTAAGAGAGCAAAACTCTTCAAATTAAAATGAACACAGTTCTACTCTCATGTCTGTTAATGGATGAACATAGAGTTGTTCTATTGGAAGAGGGAGTTTCCAAGCCCAGATACTCCACACTTCCCCCAGTGCTGGGGCCTGAGTCACTTCCTTAGCTACTGTCTTTGCTTCATGGTCCTTCATGAAGCTGGGGCCTAGAGGCATGGCTGTTTGTCCAGGGCTTAGCTGGAACGAAGCCAGGGGCCCAGGCTGCTTTCTGCCTCAGCCTAGTGGCTCTGACTTGTAGCCCCATCTGACAGGCTCCATGATGACCTGTTGCTAGAAACAGCCCTTCCTCCAGCAGTTAGTTAACTCTGGTTTTGACTTCCAAGCACTTGCCAGTGGGCCCAGAAAGAGAAAGCTGGCGAGAGGGGGGTATGGCTGTTTGGTTCTGATTACAAGAGTCTTTGGGCTGCTCGAGACCTAGATAGAGCAGGGAGCTGTCCTACACTCTTGAAAGCGTTCCCGTGGTTTTTGTGCCCATTTAAGCCAGAAAAGTGACCCAGCCCCAGGAGCCCAAGACAATAGTCTTTTGGCCAGGTGGAACTTGGTGCCTATCGGGCTCCTCAGGTGCCTGTCAGCTCTTCAGCTCACTGGTCTCCCATGTTTCTTTCAGGAGTTTGGTTTGTGATGGGAAGAGGGGCTTATTAACGCGTCTGCTGCAGGTCATGAAGAAGGAGCCAGCAGAGTCGTCTTTTAGGTGGGTCTGGGGCTAGCTGCCTGTCATCCTGAGGGCTCCAGGAGCCAAGGGTTCCTCAAGTGCTTAGAAATACTTCCTGTTGTCATCATTGTCCACCTCTGAAGTCTGAATACTCCAGGGCCCCTGTGTTGGCTCAGCAGACCAGTGTCAGCATCTGCTGCTGACCACCAGTGTATTTCTAGAGTTGACCAAGCAGTTACCAAGCACGTGTTCTGTGCTGCACAGGCGGAAGAGAAACAGCAAGCTGACCCGGACTCCCTGGGTATGGGAAGCACACAGGACAAAACAAGCATCTTGGTGCGGTGTGCGAAGGAGCTGTGGGACGGGGGGATGCTGGTGAAGTCTGGGCATGGACAGGGTGAGCTGCTTAGAGAATTCTTAAACTCATCTAAAATGAGTCTTCAAGTTTATGAACAGGAGGTAGCAGGTCAGGGAGGAATTTCACCAGGGCTGGCCATAAGCTGTCAGTAGGTGCCGGACCCACCTGTGCCCCTGTCACCTCAGTCTGCCTTGCCAGAACTCTCCCTCATGGATCCCAGCTCTGTCCTGTGGGACCACTGAAGCAGCCTCAGCCACATCTTCTCTAGACCAGCTCATCAGCAGTGAGGTCTTCCTCTCAAGTCCATGCCCTCTCTGTTCTGAAAGAGTAAAGCCTGGAGTGCATCTTCCTACGTGACTCAGCCAGGGCCAGCCCTTTGATCCTAGACGACACCAGTCTCCCTGAAAGAACCACAGAGCTGGGCTGTCAGCTCTGTGATGACGGGGACTGTCTTGCTCCCTGCTGTGTCTCCAACATTAGTCTGATGTGTAATGTTGCATAAATGGCTCAGTGTTCAGTAAATGTTGAGTAAATAAAAAGGGAGTGTAAATAATATCTCCCAGCCCCTTGGGGAATGAGCATGGGCCAGAAGAGGGCAGCCTTAGCCACCTGGGCCAGGGGTCAACATTTGGGTCGCAGGTTTTGGCAAGCTCGGGCTGTGGAGAGTTTCCTCCGAGGGACCACCTCCTATGCAGACCAGATGTTCCTGCTGAAGCGAGGCCTTCTGGAGGTAATAGCCTGAGGAGCCGGGGTATTGGGTGTCCCGTTCCCCCCTTTCCCCGTAGAGCGTTCCTGCCCTCAGCCCTACGCTGCTTGTCAGGAGGAGACTGCATCTCTGTAGTTTAAATGCCAGTGTGGATTGCCCTATGATTTGCTCTGGGTTCCCCAGGGGTGCTTACGGGACCAGTGGGGCGGGGGGGTGGTGGCCATGGAGGAAGGTTAAATGCTAAAACTACCCAGCAAGGCCTTTTGACCCTGAGGATGTTTTGATACTGATGAAAAGTTAATTACCCCTTTGAAATAATGACCTCCAGAAAAAGTAATACTTACTAAAGGTGGGGTAGAGGAGAACAAACTGGCTAAAACTACTATTGATTTTTTTAAAAACTGATAGAGGCAAGAATTGAACCCATGAAACAAATCTTATATAAAATTCATAAGGAAAAAAATGAATCCAAATCAATGGAATTTGGAAAATGTTGGTAACAGTTTAACTGTTGTAAAAATTTTAAATCAAGGACTTCAATACTCTTGATAATTTATTGATTTTGGTATAAACTTAAACAATTTCATTCATAAACACAATGGCAAACCATAGGGTCAAAATGTGTCCTCTCTATTCTTTGTTAACTTGAGTGGATCAGCACTCAGGCAGTGGTAGATGGTTACATCCCGGGGGAGTCACCCATCACCTGAAGCCAGAAACCCTGAATCTTGTGACCAAAGAGCAGGTCGCGCGCTTCAGCCTTGGGTGCTGGACAAGCGAGATGGGCCCGTAGCTCCCTACCTCAGCCTGGCCCTGCCCTTGGAGTGTCCTCAGACCAGAAGCTAGACCAGGAGAGCAGGGTCTGTCGACCTGAATGTTTGCTGGATGCAGATAAGATACTGTGTGGTCTGAGTGTGTGCTCGGCCCTGGGGAGAGGCAGGTGGGGGCAGCAGCTGCCTCTGCTGTTGTCTCCAGGGCTCCGCAGCCTTCATGGCATCACCCTGTCTTCTCCTCACCCCAGCACATCCTGTACTGCATTGTGGACAGCGAGTGCAAGTCAAGGGATGTGCTTCAGAGTTACTTTGACCTCCTGGGGGAGCTGATGAAATTCAACTTGGATGCATTCAAGAGATTCAATAAGTACATCAACACTGATGCAAAGGTAAGACTAACCCAGGGCTCCCTGCGGTTTGCTGGATTGTGGAAAAGTCAACTTGGAGCCTTGGTCCTGGCCAGTCTCCAGGTGCTGGCTTTCTATTGGAAAATACTGGGGAGTCAGTGGCCAGTAAACATCCTCAGCAAACTTGTTAAGACCAGCACCGTGCCACTAAATGTCCAGTAAACATCCTTGGATAGGTGTGAGGGTGTGAGGTAGTGTGGGGATGCCATGATGGAATCCCCAGGAGGGAGGGACTAGACCTGGTGTATTAAGCTCATGGAATTGACACTCTGCTTGAATGAGTGAAAGTAAAAAATGAGAGGAGGCCAGCCCCCTTCAGTGAGAAACACTGGGGGTTGTGTCAGAGAATCTGGGTTGAACTCTTGGTTGTGCTCTTTATAGCTGGTCCTCACCTTCCTGAGCCACAGTGACCTGCCCGTCTCCAGCCAGCGGGCCAACACCTGTGTGTCAGCTCAGTCTCTGCTCCAGTTCCAGGTGTTCCTGAAGCAGATCAACAGCTCACTGGTCGACTCCAACATGCTGGTGCGCTGCGTCACTCTGTCACTGGACCGATTCGAAAACCAAGTGGACATGAAAGGTGAATCCACCAGCACTGATGTCCAACATCTGGCCCCTCTAACAAGGATCCAGAAAAGACTTGGCAGAACTGCACTCAACACCCAAGTGGTCAAGGTCAAGGGGCACACAGTGGTGCCAGCCGTGGGTGTGAATGTACATTAGGGGCTCTAGAAAACTCTCCAGACTTTGTATTTTGGGGTTTTGTGGGGGGGTTTTTTGTCTTGTTTTTAGTTGACATATTTTTCTGTGGATGGAAACTGCTATGAATAATATAGATAAAGGTCTGGAGCCAGGCTGGGTGAGAATGGGGAGCATTGCAGACAGACTTTGGGAGAGAGGAGGGTCCCGGAGCTTGATTCCAAAGGAAAGGTGCATTCTGAGTTCCTGCTGCACTTGGCTTCATTTGTAATGGTTTTGACAGTGAGGAACGACTCCCAAGAGACTCAGGACCCAACAGGGGCTTGACTGGAGCTTTGGGTGCCTGGCTTCCCAGCTCACCATTCTGTTCTATGTCCCCAGTGGCCGAGGTCCTGTCCGAGTGCCGCCTGCTTGCCTACATATCCCAGGTGCCTACCCAGATGTCCTTCCTCTTCCGCCTCATCAACATCATCCATGTGCAGACACTGACTCAGGTGAGGGCCCTGGCCAGCATGCAGCAGGAAAGGCAAATGGAAAGCAGGTTCCTCATCTTGGGGCCAATACAGTTTGTATGTCTCACCTGACCCTAGAGGTACATCTCCTGAGACCATCTCTTGGTTCCTAGGAAACTCTTCCAACTAATCTACAGACTTTGCCCAGTAAGCATTTTTATGTAGGCAGGAATCGGCACCCATTTTATAGAGGGTCCTGGTGTGGTACTGAAGGGTAATCATTGGACTACTAACCACAGGCCAGCAGTTCAAACCCACCAGCCACTCCTTGGAAACCCTACAGGGTCGCTGTGAGTCAGAACTGATTCAGTGGCACTTAACAACAGCAGAGAAGAGTACAAGCCTCCTGAGACAGGCACTGTGTTCTGACTCCGGTCCAGTGCTCTTTTCCACCTCTCCTGCTGTGCGGGGCTTTGGAAGCAGAGTTTGACTCCCAGCTCCTTCACTAACCCACTGTGTAGCCATCCCTTCTCTCTGAGTACCTCTCCGGATGGTTCTTATTCCTTCACCTAATAAACATGTATTGAGACTGGGGTTCTCGGCCCATGCTGGGGATGCAGGGTGAACAGGATGCCAAGGCTCTGCCCTTGTAGGGCCACAATCTGGTGTCAATTGAATCTTATCAGCTAAATGCATCTAACATGCACCCATTCCTGCCTGGGGATCCAGGCTTCCAGGAAGACATAGCGCCTGCACTGAGACCTGGATGGGTAGATGCTAGCTAGACTAAGGGGGTTCCCAGCAGGGTGAGCAAGTTATCTGGGTGGGAGTAGAAACAGGTGTAAGGGTAGAGAGTTACTGCTGCTGTCACTGGTGGTGTTCTCCCCCCCCTACCCCCCGCCTCAGACTCATTCAGGGCAGCTTAGTTTTCAGCCCATGGATACTGCCAGGGCCTTGCATGGTCTAGGCCCAGGGTGCCCCTCACCCAGCTGGCCTGGGGTCTTGCAGGAGAACGTCAGCTGCCTTAACACCAGCCTAGTGATCCTGATGCTGGCCCGACGCAAAGACCGGTTGCCTTTATACCTGAGGCTGCTACAGCGGATGGAGCACAGCAAGAAGTACCCAGGCTTCCTGCTCAACAACTTCCACAACCTGCTGCGCTTCTGGCAGCAGCATTACCTACACAAGGACAAGGACAGTACCTGCCTGGAGAACGTGAGCACCCTACCCCCTTGGCGAGCATTACATGGGTAGCAGGTCACTCCGAAGGGATCCAGGGTTCATGGTCCCTGCATGGGCTACTCTCTGTCCCCTTACCAAGGCCCTCCCCACAGGGTGCCAGGCTTGACCTGGGTTCTCCAGGTGCCCCCCAGCCTCCGCTCCTTCTCTTCACCCAGAGCTCCTGCATCAGCTTCTCGTACTGGAAGGAGACAGTGTCCATCCTGTTGAACCCAGATCGCCAGTCACCCTCTGCCCTTGTCAGCTACATTGAGGAGCCCTACATGGACATAGACAGGGACTTTGCTGAGGAGTGACCTTGGCCAGGCTTTGGAAGGCTGCTGGGCCGGGCCATCTTGGGTGAGCGTGGGTACATGTGCCCCACGCTTTGCCCTGCTCCCGTCCCTCCCCTGCCTCCCTGCTGCGCTCTGTCTGCCCAGGTCTCAGGTACCGGCTTGGTGGGAGGGAGCCTCCTAGAAGTTCTCTGGGATGAGGGTCCCAGGTCAGTGGGAAGCCTCAGTTCCCTCAAGTCCCCCATGATGAGGGTGAGGGCACTCTTCACCCCGCCTTCAGAACCCAGAGGGAAGAGGAATTGTCCAGACAGCTATTGAGCTCCTGCCCAGTCTCTTAGTTGTCAGTCCCAGGGCCAGAGGGAGATAGGGGCACTGTCCCCCAATCTGTGAGCCAAGTTTCCCCTGGCCCTGGGCAGGGGGTGGAGAGACTGCCATCTTCCCCTAAGCCTGCCCATCTCTGCCTCCCCTCCTTGTTTTCCTTTAGTTCCTCTGGTTCTGTTTGTTCATTTGTTCCCAGGGGTTTTACTCCAGCAGTGAGGGGGGTGGCCTTCTCCATGCCTTGGGGCCCAGGGTGGCTAGGCCCTGCCGCACCCCAGGGCAGCATCTCCTGTCTGAGCCCAAACATACAAGAGCCTGTCTGGAGCACACCCTTGGCCCTCCTTGTGTTGCCAATTTATTAACAGCAAATAAGCCCAACTCAATGGAGACTATTAAAGAACTTTATTTTAAATGAGTGATGCGACCCTGACTTTTTCCATGGGACTAATGTCACTCCCTCCCCATCTTGAATCCTAAAGAATGAGAAAAAAGCCAACTGGAGCTGCGGGCATGGCCGTGGCCTTTATTCCAGGTTTGCCAGGGCTTGAGGGCTGAGGGTCAGCAGAGGGGGACGAAGATGACACGGCACAGCAGGTGAGGAGCAGACAGGAGATGTTACTCCTTGTGCTAAGTCAGAGTAGGGACAGCTGAGTGAGCTGTAGACCACGGTGCCCACCCCACCCTCAAAGAGGCCAAGTTCCACAGCCACCACTCACTCACCTTGGGGCCCAGGGCATCCCGGGTCCGTGCCCGCAGCTTGTTGGCCTGAGTTTCTGCCATGTCTGCTCGTTCCTCTGCATCGTCCAACTCGTGCTGGGCCTTGCGATATTTGGCCAGGTTCGTGTTGGCCTGCTGTTCCTATGGGCACAGCAGGGCCTCAGTTTACCTTGTAGTAACTTTGATGGTCAGTTTAGTTCCTACCCAGGCCCAGCAGAGGGCTGGCTGTGGCTCTTCAGCTCTGCTCCTAACACCACTGCCCATGGCCACCCCCGCCTTTCTCTCCAACAAGCATGGCAGGAAGGAGGGGGTTGAGTTGCTGCATCCAGAAGTGACGGTGTTCTAGACCTGGCACAGGACATCCTCTAGCCTAGCAAAAGGAAGACATGAGAGACCTACTCTGGTCTCACGCTACAGCTGTTAGAAAACACCGGACCGTGGGATTGCCAAGCTGGGAGGACAGAGCTGCTCTTTTGGGGGCTGGCCACATAGGACCCTTGGCTGCTGGAACCAACAGCTGAAGGTGATCCCCACAGGTGTTTTGGGCCCAGGCCCCACTGCTCACCGCCTCCTCAAACTGGCGCTTATAGCTCTTGACCTTGCTCTGCAGCTTGTCCACCAGGTCTTGCATGCGAGCCAGGTTCTTCCTGTCTTCTTCAGCCTGAACAGGCAAAGGGGACTCAAGGCCTGCACTGGCCATCCCAGGGCTGCCCCTTGAGGTGGACCCAGTCACTCACCTGGTACGCGAGCTCCTTGACTTGTCGCTCATGTTTCCGCACCCCCTTGAGGGCCTCTGCATGCCTTTTCTGCTCTGCATCCAGCTCAGCCTCTAACTCCCTCACCTGTTGATTCAGGGGATGAGCCTGTGGTCCCCAGCCTGCCCTCAGGTTGCCCTGCCCTGCCCAGGGGAGGGGCTGCACACACCTTGGACTCCAGCTTCTGCACCTGCTTCTTCCCACCGCGGAGGGCAGCTTGCTCTGCCTCCTCAAGCCGGGCCTGCAGCTCCCGTGCTGTCTGCTCCAGGGTCTTCTTCATCCGCTCCAGGTGGGCACTGGTGTCCTGCTCCTTCTTCAGCTCCTCGGCCATCATGGCCGCCTGAGGGGGGAATAGAGGGCACAGTGAGGAGGTGACTAGTCCCCATGGAAGAAGGCCCTTTGGGCTCTGCCTGGGTCTCCCACAGCCCCAGTCCAGCCTTACATCCGTGATGGCCTTTTTGGCCTTCTCTTCGGCCTCTCGCCTCTCCTGGACAGCCTCCTCCACCTCCCCACTCAGCTGAGCCAAGTCCACCTCTAGCTTCTTCTTCTGGTTCAGGAGGCCTGTGTTCTGGAGGAAAGTAGAGCCTCAGAGCCAGCCAGCAGGCCTCTGGCCCACGCCTGCCTCTGTGTCCTGTGAGCCAACCTGCGAGTGCAGGAGGTTGAGGCGCTCAGTGGCCTCCACCAGCTCTTGTTCAGCTAGCCGCCGGCTGCGCTCCCCCTGCTCCAAGGCCGCCCGCAGTTCCTCCAGCTCTGCAGCCAGCAGGGCAGTGCGGCGCTCCAGGGCCTGTGCCTGCTCCCGGAGCTCTGCTGCCAGCCGCTGCTCTTCATCCCGCCCTGCCTGCTCCTCCTTGAGCTGGGCCTGCAGCATCCGCGTGGCAGCCTGTGCCTCCATGGCCTGCCGGGTGGCATGGCCCAGCTGCAGCTCAAGGTCATTGAGGTCGCCCTCCATCTTCTTCTTGAGTCTCAGGGCCTCATTGCGGGCCCGCGTCTCGGCATCCAGGGAGGCCTGCAGGGACTCCACGGCCCGCTGGTGATTGCGCCTTTAGAGGAGGGACAGACAAGCCTTCTATTACAGGTGTTCAGAGGACGTTGGAGACGTGAATTCTTTTTGGGAATAAGTGACCCACCCCTCCCCTAGTTGCCCATCAGAGCAAGTTCATGGGCAACATATGTGGGTAGACTGGCTCCACCCCTACTTGTTAAGTACGCCCTTTAACCACTGAGATTAACCTCTAAAATGAGACCAGTAATCCCTACTTGAGACAGTGCTCAGGGAGGGCATGCACTGGCTGCCTGGCCTCCGACCACCAGAGAGGAAATGAGCCCCTGGGTGGTAGTGGGTAGGGTGGCATCGGCCCTTGTACCTGAGGTTAGCGCACTCCTCATCCTTCTCTGCCAACTTGCGGTCTACTTCAGCCTTGACCTGGGATAGCTCCAGTTGGATCCGGAGAGTTTTGGTCTCTTCCAGCTCCAGGGCCCCCTACGGACACAGAGTTGACAGTATGGGAGTCAGGGCTGTGAGCATGTGTCAAGGGAAGAAGAAGGTGAGCAGAGTGTATGCCCCGCCTGTGGCCAGCCCCTGACCTCAGCCTCTTCGAGAGCAGCCTGGAGCTCATTCTTCTCCCCTTCCAGTGCCTTCTTTGCTTTCTCTAGCTCCTGGATGCTCTTCCCACTGAGGCTGACCTGGTCTGCGAGGTCACTGATCTCCTCTGCAGAGTGGACAGGGCTTTGAGGGACCCACCTCAAAGCCTAGTGCTCCAACCCATCACCCATTCATGTCTTAATTCCACAGTGACAACCGCCCCTCGCCCCCGCCCCAACTGTAGACAAACTCTCAAAGCCTCATGTGACTGACTCTCAGGTGGTTCCCCACCCTCAAGCTCTTAGGGGGTCCTGGCCCAGAGCAGCCCCCGGGTTCAGGGGCAGGTCATACCCTGCAGGTTCTTGTTCTCGCGCTTGAGGGTCTCCAAAGCCTCGAGTGCCTCCTCGTGGCTGTGCCTGAGCCGGAAGAGCTCCGTGCCCAGGCTGCGGGCCTCCCTCTGGGCTGCCTCCAGCTCCCGCTGGGTCTCCTCCTCCTGCCGCCGCCGTTCCTCAAGTGCCCGTTCCAAGTGCCGCTGCTTCTTGTCCAGGGCAGCTGCTGCTGAGGTAGCCCGCTCCAGCTCCAGGGTCACATCCTCTGACTCGGTCTGCAGCCGCAGCTTGGCCTTCTCCAACGAGGAGCATTTGGCGTGTGCGGCCTCCACCCCCTCCTCTGCCTCCTGCAGCCGTAGGGCCAGCTTCTTCCTAGGGCAGACGGCATGGAGGTGGAGTTGGAAGAATGACCCCAGCATGGCTCAGGGAAAAGTCCCAATTAGATCAGAAAAAACTGATCAGTCAACTTTTTCCATCACAGACCAGAAAGTAAATATTCTATCCTCCTCACCCCGAGTGTCTAGTCAATCACAATAGGCAAATGTGGGGGTGGCTGGGCTTCCAGTAAACCTATTTACAAGAAACAGTGCTCAGGACAGGCTGGATGTGGCCCACAGGCTACCCTGGCTGAGCCCTGAGCTACTCCTAGATTCCAGTGGATTTCTTTCCTTTTGTCAAAGGGCTATAGAAAGTGGGCCGGGGAGGAACCTGAACAGACTGAAGAAAGACCGACAGAATCATTGTCTGACTGGAAAAGGACTACCAGGGTCATCACAGTGAACTCTTCACCTGTCCACTGACTGTCCTAGACCCTCCCACAACCAGGGAGACAGTGTCACCTCAAGTGGGGATGGCGGGCAGATACTCACTTGGCCTCCTCCAGCTCCTCAGTCCTCTGGATGGCGTCGGCCTCGTACTTGCTCCTCCACTGGGCCACCTCAGCATTGGCCTTGGATAGCAGCCGCTGCAGCTCGGCCTGGGCTTCAGTCTCCTCCTCATGCTGCTCCCTCAGGAGCTCACAGTCATGCCGCAAAGCCTGCACAGCATGGGCCAGCGCACTCTTGGCCTGCAGGGACACCAGTGACCTCAGCATCGGGCCAGTGGCCCTGTGGCCCACCTGTTGGCTCTGTGGTGGCTGGTGCTTGCTCACCTTGCTCTCCTCCTCCAGCTGCCTCCGTAGCTCCTCCAGGCTCTGGGCCACTGAGGTCTTCCCTCGACTCAGTTGGCTAATCAGCGACTCCTTCTCCTCAAGCAGGCGGCTCAGTTCCCCTAAAGACCAGGAAGTGAGAGGACAGGTCAGGTAGGCCAGGGCTGCAGCGAGGCCCAGCAAACCCCTGGGCCCTCACCATTCTCTGTCTGTAACCGCCCACGTTGGGTGCTGGCGTCCACCAGCTGCCGCTGCAGCTCTTCCACCTTAATCTTGGCTTCACTGAGCTGGTCCTCGTATGTCCGGCACAGTTTTTCTGCACTGGCCTGGGCCCCAGGGTCAGACAGCAGGAAGAGTTGGTGAATCAGAGGGCAGGAGGAGACACTGAAATCTGAGGTCAGGAGCTTCTTAAGATACTAGACAAGGGCCCAGGAATCAAAGGGAGATGGAGCCCAGGGTTCCAGGTCTGGGGTTCTGCTGCTAGGCTCATAGCTGAACAGTTGGGTATCGAGTGAGAGGGCTGGACTCAGTGGTTAGGATACTAGAGTCAGAAGTCAACGGTCAGGATTAGGAGGGATGAAAGTCAAGATTGAATGCTACATCAGGATAGAAACACAGGGCACAGGAATGTCTGGGGACACAGGAATGGGGTCAGATTAGGGATCCAAGATTGGAATTGTGGGCTGGGTCAAAAACGATGGGGAGTTGGGAATGGGGTTGGGTGAGAAGAGAGTCAGGGTCCTAAATGGGGTTGGGGTAAGGAGAGGGTCCTAAATGAGGTCACAGCTGGTGATGAGTTTGATGGCAGTGCCGTGGGTCAGGACTGGCACTGTGGTCAGTAGTCAGAGGCAGGGGTCAGCTGCTAAGGTCAGGATTGGTTTAGAGTCAGGATGAGCATGGGCCACAGTTAGGGATCAGGACTGGATGCTGGACTCTGGGTTGGTACAGAGGTCAGAGGTTGGGGTAAGAAGAGAGCAGACACCTTGCCCCGGGCCAGAGTCTCCACATTGGTGCCCAGATCATCCACCTCCATGCGGAGCTCACTCTTTTCTTTCTCCAGCTTCTGCCGCACACGCTGCAGACTGTCCACCTGCTCACCCAGTTCGGCAGCACTGTCCGCCTGCTTGCGCCGCAGGGCAGCCACCGTGGCCTCATGCCGCAGAGCCTCCTCTTCCAGCTCTCGCCGTAGCCGGCCCAGCTCTGCTTCACGCTTGCGGCAGCCCTCACGCTGCCCGGCAGATGCCCCACCTGCCTCCTCCAGCCTCTCACTCAGCTCCTCCAGCTCACGGGCCGCCTCTGCCCTCTGCTTCTCCACACGGGCTCGAGCAGCCCTCTCTGCCTCCAGCTCCTCTTCCAGCTCCTCCGCCCGCGCCTGGGATGGGCCAAAAAGTATGCGAGTGGTCAGCCGTCCCCACTGTGGGCCTCTGACCCACGTCCCCCCCCTGGGTCCCACACACACCTGCAGCTCCTTGATCTTCTTCTGCAGCTGCGCCCCCAGAAGCTGCTCATCCTCCACCCGCAGGTTCAGCTGGCTTAACTCAGAGTCCTTCCTGGGGTGACAGGGTGGGCATGAGTCCATGGTCTACCAGGTCCTAACTTCCATCAACCTACCTGGAGTCCTGGTGGGCACTGTAGGATAAGCACTCGACCGCTAGGTCAGTTTGAACTACAAGGTCGGCAGTTCAAGCTTACCAGCCGCTCCTTGGAAACCCTACACAAGGTTGCTATGAATCAGAACAGACTCAATGGCACTTAACAATAACATCAACCTGGGGCCCCAGGGTAACCCCCCACCCCCCAAAAAAACACCTTCCCCAAGGTTCTCTGACCCAGAGCTGCTCCTTGGTTGTGAGAGGGCAGGACACCCCCCATTGCACACCAGTTTCCAACTCCTCACCACCCAGTCCCACATTCAGCCTTTGCAGCAGTGTGGACCTAGAGTCTGGGAGAATAAGAACTGAGGTGTAGACTCAAGAGCCTCCCTGCCTGCTGCCCACCCCCATGCCTACTTCTTGAGCTTCTCCTCCAACTGTTGCTTGTCCTGGGCAGCGTCTGTTACCGCCTCTTGCGTCAGCTTCAGGTCACCCTCAAGCTTGCGCTTGGCCCGATCAGAGTCTATGCGTAGCTTCTTCTCCTGCTCCAGGGAGCACTCCAACTGTGGGCGGAGGCAGGGGTCACTGCAGCCAGTCCAGTCAGTCCGGCCGCCCATACCCCACAGCCCTCACTCAGTGTGGCCTGACTCACATCCTCCACCTGCTGCTCCAGTCTGATCTTGGCCTTGGCTAGGGCGCTCACACGGTCCTCCTCCGCCTGCAGGTCCCCAAGGGCCTGTTGGTGAGCCTCCTGCAAGGCCTTCTTCTCTTTGGTCAGCCGGGCCACCGACTCATCCAGCGTGGCCATCTCCTCCGTCAGGTTCTTCACCTGTGCCAGGGCCAGCGTCACTATGGGGCTGTCCCTTCCCACACGTTGCTCTGAGCAGCCCCTTCCAGCTATGGGACCTTCCCCTTCGAGCTGAAGCTATTGAATACGCATCCCAATGAGCTAGTGCTTCTATTAACCTCATGTGACAGATGAGGAAATCGAGGCCCACATATGCAGTGACCTGCCCAGGGCAGAGCCCAGTGTGGGACCTGCCGCTTGCCTGGGGCAGTACCTTGTTCTCTGTGGCTTGCTTCTCCTTCTCGGCCTTGGCCAGCGTCAGCTCCAGGTCATCAATGTCCTTCTTGAGCTCCGTGCACTCATCCTCCAGCTTGCGCCGGCGAGCAGCCAAGTCGGCATTCACCTCCTCTTCATCCTCCAGACGCTCAATCATTTCCTTCACCTTCGCTTCCAGCTGCACCTTGGACTTGATCAGCAAGTGGCAACGCTCTTCAGCATCCGCCAGGTTCTCCTGCTCCTGGAGGAGGAGACGGGCGGGGACGGAGCAGTCAAGACAGACTCAGGGAAGGCAGCTGGAGGGCTGCTAGACCCAGAGAGGAACGTTCATTTCTCCACACTCAGCTGGGCTCAGGTGACAGGTTAGGACTCTGCTAAAGGAGCGGACAGGGCAGAAGTGGCATCGAGAAGGGACTATGTGGCAGGTTAAGAACAAGCCAGACTGAGGCTCCATAAAGGGCTCTAGGAAAGAAGCCAACCCCAGGCCTTCTGGCGGTGTGTGGAGCCCCTCACAGCCTTCTCTGGAGGGGGTCTCCCACTTTCATCACTACCTGACTGCACAGCTGTCTCCTGTACAAGCTGGCGAGTTTTGTGACCACAGGGCCATCTCTGTTTTCCCACCAGTGCATCCAGAGCTAGAAGAAATCGTTCTGTAGCCTTGGGGAGATTTCTGGACTCTGGTTACTAGTGTTACCTACTGCGTGTTCCCATGACCCTCAGAGAAGACAGTGTGTGTTTTGGGGGTTGGGGCTTCTCACTGCCATTTTAGCAGAAAGCCAAGGTTGCACAGGAAGGAAAACATGAGGACAATGTGAGAGAACGGGCTGGCCTCCTCTCCATGCGCCCCTGGAAAGAATGCTCCCGAGCACACTAGACCCTCCCTGGCTGGCCGTGGGTCTGCAGTAATATTTCCTCAGAGCAGCCTGGAAATCCTGAGGCACCAAGGGAAGCTCTCCTCTCTCCTCAGCCCTATCCCTATCCCACTCCCTCGAACCCCACCCCCCACCCCCCCCCACGCTCACTGCCTGCAGCTGCAGAGCCAGGTCATTCTTCTCTTGGGTCACGCTGACGTGCGTCTCCTCCAGCTCCTGGCGCTTGGCCTCAGCAGTGGCCAGGGCCCCTCGCAGTCCCCGCAGCTCTGTCCGCAGGGCCGCCAGCTCCTCCTCAGCCTGCGCTGAGCGCAGCAGTGGCTTCATCTTGAAAAAGAGTTTCATCCATGACCAATTCTTGACAGCATTGAAGGCTCGGATGTTCCACTGGATGGTGAAGAGGGCATCCCTGGGGAGGGACAGCCACAGGTTGCAGGCTCAGGGCTGCGTCCTTCCCAGGAACGTCCTGGTGTCCCCTGAGCACCCACAGAGCTGAGCACTGCACTATACATGCATGATCCCACTCAGGTCTGCAGTGGGCCTGTGAGGATGCTCACACAGCTAGGACACGGTAGGGGTCAGTCTGCCTCCAGAGTCAGAGCCCTGAGTGTCCTGAAAACACATGGAGTGGTTATAGAGCCACAGGCTCTGGTCAGACTGCCAGCCCTTGCTAGCTGCTAGGAATCTTTCGACTGAGGACCTGTCTATAGGACAGAGATAATTACAGAGATAACTGGGACTTTGGCACATTAGCCACAGTAGAGCAACTACAATGTGTCACCCATGGCCTGGCACTTAGTGAGTACTTGGAAACTCTGGATGATGACGTTATCACTCTGGACCAGCTGGAGCCAAGAGGCCAGTACTCGAGCCTCAATTTTTTGAGGCGGAATTGGAGGCTAGGGGCTGGGAAGATACAGAATTGGACCCTGACCCTTAGGATACCCAACCAAACATGGGGGATCATCAGACCCTCAGGACAGCAGGACAGTGGCTGCACCCTACTCCTGTGCCCCACCCCCACACACCTGCCTCCAAGTAGGCGCCGGTACTCCAGGCGCATAAGGCAGCCCCGGCTCCTCGCCTGAAGCAGTGTCAACACCTTAGCCAGACGCTGGTCTCGTAGCTCCTCCAGGATGCCCAGCAGCCCAGCCTTGAAGAACACCTGGGGTGGGGACGTGAGATGGGTCTGGTGTAACCCTAGACCCATGCGGGCCCCCTATCGGGTGTGATCCCTACATTGGAGGTCAGCTCTGACTCTGGTGTGCCCTGACCTTGGTGTGGCCTAACTGGTACTGGGTGTGGTCAAGGTCCAGTGAGCTCAGCAGCTTCTCTGTGGCTTTCCTGCTGTCCACAAAGGTGTCATCAGGGATGGCGCTGGGGTTTAGGATGCGGTACCTGGGAGGGCAGAACAGGGCCTGGGTGGGGTCACTGACTTATGGGAAGCCAGGGTCCAGAGGTGAACTCACTGGTCTTTTTCTGCTTCCCATTCAAACTGCTTACATGCATTCAGTGGTCAGATTCTTTACGAGGTGGCAGTTTTTACAAAAGCAATGTAGTACTTTTATCATTTAAAATTTTTTAATTTAGTCCTGGTGTGGTGTTGTGGGCTAATGTGCTGTACTGCAAAGTTGGTTTGAACCATAAGGTCGGTGGTTCAAGCTCACCAGCTCACCTTGGAAACCCTATCCAGGGTTGGGACTCGAGAGCACTTGACAACAACAACATGCTATCTACCAGGCCATAAACTACAGAAATATTTCAGAGAGACTCTGTATCAATACAAAGAGCAAGGGTTCCCAGCTCTTCCACCTTTAATACAGACAACAAACTGCACACGTGCATGGAGAAGGCTGGCCACCCCTCCCTAGAGGACTGATTAAATGAAGCAGGGTTCAACATTCGTATGGATGTATGTCTTATAAAAGCTGTGTGGATGACCGCAGTTACTTCTGACTAGGGAAGTGAAGTATGGAAACTTGTAACCCCACAGAATCACCTATAATGGGAAGGGGAGGATGCTATGAGCCGTGACTGAGCACTCACTATGGACCAGGCGTTGCATGGCATTTATATGAAGAGCAAACAGACGCACAAAGAAGGTGGCCAGTGAAGCGGGAGGCAGCGATTACAGTCACACTGCCACAAGCCAAGAAACAGCTGGGCAGCCAGAGCTGGAAGAGACCAGGAAGGCTCTTGTGGGGCCGCTAGAGTCCCTGAACTCAGACTTCTAGTGGCCAGAATTATGAGAAAATAAATTCCTATTGTTATAAATCACTCAGCTTGTCATCTATACAGCAGCCCTAGGAAACTGCTGTCATCAAGTCAATTCAGACTCAGCAACCCTGCAGGACCAAGTGTAGAACTGTCCACAGGGGCTCCAAGACTGTAATCTTGAGGGAAACAGACAGCCACATCTTTCTCCTACAGAACAGCGAGTGCGTCAAACCACTGTCCTTCTGGTTAGCAGTCAGGTACTTTCAGCATTGTGCCACCAATACACTTCCTTGCCCCCCAAAAATCCACAGTCAGTAAATCTCAGTATATCTACCATCTATCTCTCCAGTTGCTCAAGCCAGAAACCTAGGAGTCACTTTTGTCTCTTACTTTGTAGCCAATTCATCAGCAAGGCCTGTGGGCTCCACCTTTCATTTTCACCCTAAACCCGTTCACATCTCTCACTTCCTAGTCTAAGCCCCTCCACCTTTCTTGGGGATGCCTGCCTGGCTGCCTCACTGTTCTCTTTGCTTTCCCCTCACTGACTGGTCGGACCCTACACTGCAGGGTTCCAAGGGGACTGCCTTTCCTGCCACCTTAGGTTGTTGGTGGCTGTCCCAGACTGAGCCTGAAGCAGAGCCAAAGCCAGAGCAGGATGCACTGACCGCTGTCGGAAGTCTGCGTGGAGTAGCCGGTTGGGGAATCCTTGGCGACAGATGCGGATTCCCTCCAGAACCCCATTGCAGCGTAACTGGTGTAACACCAAGAAAGCATCCATGACCCCTGGACATAATGGGGGTTAGAGGTCAAACCAGTTACTGTGAGGCAAAGCTGTGCAGACCCTGGGCAGAGGGGTGAGGCATCCTAGTCCCTGCCCTCCATCATTTCCGACTCCCACCAACCCACCCCTGGTGACTACCTGGGGTCTTGTTCTCATTGGGGACTATGCACCGGACGAAGTGGGGCTGTGTGGCCCGCAGGTTGGTCATCAGTTTGTTGAGGTTCTCCTGGGAATAGGAAAAAGTGGGGAGAAGGCACAAAAAAGGGGGGCAAAGAAGCAGAATTGGACAGTGCAGTGGGTCAGAACGACTAAGGACTGGTGTACAAGGCCCCTAACTGTGACTCTGAGCTTTTGTTTCTTTCGTTCTTGATCTTTATGACTCTTTGCCCTCTTCGGCTTGGCTGGGCTCCTATCACCATCACCAAAGTCATCACTCCCCCACCAAATCCATCCCTCCTGGAGGCCCCAGGGCCCGACTCCTTCCCTGCAAGCCCTGCCCAGGCAGCGTAGGGACGGGAAGCAGCACAGACTTGCTGTGATGTTCACGTGGAGAGGACTTAAACATCACTGCAAGTCTTAACGGCCACCCGCCCAGGGTGCAGAGGACAGAGCAGAGAGGCGAAGAATGGGCTGGGACGGCAAGGGTGAGGAGCCCACACAGGGGCCCTAACTGGGCCTCACCTTGTGCAGCTGGGACACCGTCTGGAAGGATGCTGCCTTCTTCCGCTTCTCTTTCACCCCAGACTTAGGGGGCTCGGCTGGTAGAGACAGGGGATCGGTCACTCCAGGGATATGATGTGAGCCCCACGCCAGAGTGGCCACCTTGGCCATTGGTACTCACAGGAGCAGGAGCCCGCATAGTTCTCATAAAGTGTGGCCAAGAGCCTGTTCTGGGACTTTTGGAATATGGGGACAACTGTCTCATTCAGTGGGTCCTTGTTTTTCTCCAGCCAGCCCACAATGCTGTATGGCACCTGGCAGGGACGAGACAGGTGCTGAGCCAAGGTTAGAGAACTCAGGGGAGAATGGAGAAGAGGGGTCCATAAAGAAGCTCTGATGAGCACCTACCACGCCTGCGTAGTGGACCACCTCAAAGTGAGCCTGGTATTTGCGCTTTTTGTCAGGTCGCGGCTGCTGGAAATTGGGTGACTTCCCAGCATGGTTGTCATATAGCTTAGCCCGGAAGCTGGCGTCTGAGGCCTTCGGAAACATGCATTCCTCCTCCAGGATGGACAGGATCCCAAGTGGCTGGGGACAGGGGACACACATGAAGGGCGTGTGGGAATTGAGACCTCCATCAAGTCAGCCCATCCTGACAGAGTTCAATCCTGATTCCTCAAAGCCCTGCCTTCTGGGAGTCATTCCAGACCCCCCACCTCAGCCATCTCCCCAGAAGGACCAAGATCCAGGAGCCCCATCTTCAAGGAGAGACGGTAAGCTTGCGGTCCAACTTCCAAGCCCCTTCTGCATGACCTGCAACACTGAGTTCTTCTGTCGGCTCCTAAGAAGCGGGAAACTCAGACTGGCGTCTCCGTACCGTCTCCCACCCATCCAGAGGCCCACACACAAATGTACATGGTGCAGAGAAAAATGAAATTGAGTCCAAAACTTGGCTTGCTCACTTACTAGCTGTGGGGCCTTTAGCTCTCTCTAAACCTCCATTTCCTAACCTGCAAAATGGGGAAAATAGCATCTTCAATGCCAGTGTCTTTGTTGTTAAGTGCGGTTGAGTCGGTTCTGACTCACAGCTACTCTGTATAGGGTTTCTGAGAAGCAGCTGGTGAGTCCAAACTGGCAACCTTGTGGTTCAAACCGATCTTGAAGTTGAGTACTTTTCCTACAGTGCCACACCAGGACAAAAAAAATCGTCACCTACTTAAACGGCCAACACTAGGGAATGAACAGAAATGCAGTGTACGCAAAGCATCTGCTACACAAGCAACTGCCTTCCTCAGCAACATTCAAAAAATGCTTTCGGAGAAAAGCAGCCTGTGAAGGGGACCTGTGGCTATAAAAGAAGGACCGAGGCCCAGGATAAAGGTTTGGAAGAAATTAACCAGAATGCTGAAGAGCCCAGGTGGCACTGTGGTTAAGTGCTTGGCTGCTAACTAAAAGGTCATCATCAGTTTGAACCATTTTAGGAAGAAAAATGTCTCCATAAAGATGTACAGCCTTGGAAACCCTCTGGGCAGCTCTGATCTGCCCTAACAGTGGCTTTGAGTAATAATCGACCCCACAGTGGTAGAATTGGGGCAGACATTTTTTTTCCCCTTTACTTCTGATTTTCCCAGTTTTCTTTACTGTTCCATTATTTGGGTAATGAGGAAAACTGTGTGCAGCCAGGAGGGGCTGTTGTCACGTCACTGGAGCACACACACTCAGACAATGACTCTCTTCACACACATGCACGGACCCTCAGGGATGCAGTGTCACAAACTCAGTGTACCCCACCAAGGTACACTTACATACAGCACAAACTCATTCCCACGCCCTCGCTACACACATCCTCCTTGGCGGCGGCCTGGCCTGGGCCCCACCTTCTCGATGAGGTCAATGCAGGGCTGCAGGTCAAGGCCGAAGTCGATGAAGACCCAGTCGATGCCCTCCCGCTTGTACTCCTCCTGCTCCAGCACGAACATGTGCTGGTTGAAGAACTGCTGCAGTTTCTCATTGGTGAAGTTGATGCACAGCTGTTCAAAGCTGTTAAACTGCAATAAGGAGGTGTGGGCTCAGCAGGCCTTCATGCCGATGAGGGGAAGGGAGGTCCAACGAGGAACAAGAATGTGTGTGACTCTACCAGGACCCCCATTCACCCTGTGGATTTCACTCACCTCAAAGATCTCAAAACCAGCGATGTCCAAAACTCCAATGAAAAACTGCCGGGGCAGCTTTGTGTCCAGCGTCTGGTTGATTCTCGATACCAGCCACCGGAACAGCCGGTCATAGGTGGCCTTGGCCACAGCCCCAACAGCAAACACCACCTGGAGGTACAGGGAAGCTGGACTGAGGCCCAATGACCAGGGGACCTTGTCCCGCTGCCCCTCTGACAAGCAAGCAGCTCACCTGCTCCACACTCTGGCCCTTGGTGACATATTCGTTCCCCACCCGGACCCGGGGATGCAGAAGGCCTTTGAGAAGGTCCCCACTGCTGACACCCATCAGGTAGGCAGCCTTGTCAGCACCTGGGGCAAGGTAAGCAGCTAAGGTAAGGAAGGGGGAAGTCAAGAATATGGGCACTTGGGGTCTTTACTGGCTTCAGCCTGGGTTTTAGAGGGGCGCTGGAGAGGCATCAAGTTCAAGGACAGCAAATTGTAAGCCTCAGGAGGCTGAGGGTCTGGAGCTGAAAAATCCGAAGTTACAGTCAGGGTCAGGTACAAATGGGGTCAAGGGTCATGGCCAGGACACTGGGAGGAATCAAGGTGATAGCCAGGCCTGGCTCCCTCACTCTCGGTGCCGTCGGCTTCAGCCTGCTCCTCCCGTTGCTTCTGCTTAAACTTCATGTTGCCCAAATGCAGGAGGGCACCCACAATCTTGTAGCAGGCACACTTCTCCTCCGTGCTGAAGCCCAGGATGTCCATGGCATGCTGTGGCCAGGAGTGACAAGAAGTCAAGGCGATGCCGAGATCCAGCCCCCCGAAACCTCCCCCCAGCTCAGGAGCCCCGCTCTGCCCGCCTACATCAGTGGCGATGAGCTCCTCCCCATCATCCATGTTATCCACCGTGATGACGCCCTGGCTGCAGAAGTGGTAATCATAAGGGTTCATGGAGAGAAGCAGCATATCTGGGGACACACGGGGTGGAGAAGCTGAATTCAGGCTGTATTCAGCCAGTGGTTTTTCACCCCTAATGCAAGATGGTGCTGGGGAGCCTCTTCTAGAGCCTGAGCCTCTAGTGCCCCCATCCCATCCATCCGTGGCCCCTCACCCTGCAGCTCCGGCTTCTTCCCTGATAGGATCTGGTAGTAGACATGGTAACCACGCTCGCCGGGCAGCTGGAAGATGACTCGTGACTTCTCCAGGAGATCTGGGAGAAGACAAGGTGCTAGTTGGCCACTTGGGACTTTTGCACCAATGGAGGTGAGGATTTGGTGATGAGCTGTTGGTGAGGGTCAGGGGTATACAGAGGTGCTATGTCAGTACATGTATTGGGAAGGGTGTCTTGCATTGGTGTGTGGACCCTTGTGTGGAAATGTGTCCACCATGGTAGGGTAAGCACTGGACTGCTAACTGCAATGCTGGCAGTTCAAACCCACCAAGCTGCTGTGAGGAATTAAGATGAGACATCTGCTTGCATAAAGATTTACAGCCTCAGAACCCCAATAAAGGGTCAGTAGAGTTGGAACCAACACAAAGGCAGTGAGTGTGTTTGGGGGGGAGGGCTTAGTGCGTTAGTCTGAGGCTCTGTGTAGGGATTCATTTGTGTTTGTTGGTGAATGGGTGTCCCTGCACACATGTATCAGTGTGTGTCTGTGTGTGGGTATCTGTGTGTGTAGGTTTTGTTTTGTTTTGTTGGTGTGGGTCAGTCAATGTATGTGTGTGTACTGAAGCCACTATGTATAAGTTGAGTGTGAATGATGTTGTATAGCTGTCCTGTTGCCATATGCCAGCGCTTATCTGGTAAGATCTAGCTAGCTGACCATGCACCCCAAGGTAGGGAGAGGACAGTGTGGGCATTCCTCCATGAGTGTGGTCCACTTTGGTGTGGGCTTGGCATGTGGTATCTATGCAGTTGGGCTGGGTCAGGCAGGGTGGGCAACAATAACAGAAAAGTGTTTAGGCTGGGGTAGGGGGCCTGGAAGGATAGGGAACTCTATGTGTAGAGATGAGGCTGAGAAGGAGGGACCAAGCATTGCCCTACCCTATCTGGGGTCAGAGAAAAGACGGTGGGGGTGGGGGGAGGTAAGGATCCAACCATGAGGGAGGTACTGGGTCTCCATCCTAAGGGAGGCAGGATCTAGAGAAGGTTTTTAAGTAGGGCCAGGATGAGGTCAGATTAGGATCTGGGAAAAGACCTGGAGTAGAGAAAGGTCAAGTAGAGAAGGAGGCAGGGTGATCATGACTAGACTGGGACAATGTCCCAGGTGAGAGGTGAGATGGCCAGAGCTGGGTAGTGACCAGAGGATGGAGAGAAATGCGAGAAAAGGCTGCCAAAGTACTGGATGGTGGATGGACTGAGACCTAACCCTCTGTCCCTCCTCCCCAGGATTCCTGCCCGCTCCCACCCGCTTTCCCCTTTTCCCAGACTCACAGCTGTCAATATCAGCAGATGCCAGCTTCCCAGAGGGACCAAAATGAATGCGGATGAACTTGCCCTGTGTGTAGAGCAGCAACCCACTCAGCCTGGGGGCCCAGCCCGGGCTGCTTTACCCCAGCTGAAGGCTCCCCTCACGTTGTACCCTCTGCTTTCTACCGCTGCCCACCTCTCCCGCAGCCACTGAGACACTCACAAAGCGGGAGGAGTTGTCATTCCGCAGGGTCTTGGCATTGCCAAAAGACTCCATGGCAGGGTTAGCCTCGATGATTTGATCCTCGAGGGTGCCCTGTCAGAAGAGGCAGGGAGGGGTTCACTTTTAGAACAACCCGTCACCTGAGATCACCTGAGATCACCTCTGGTGAGAGAAGGTCCCAGGGGCCCATAGCTGCCTGCCACGCTCATACTAGCCCCGTACTTACCCCAGTCTTTGTGGCCAGGAATTGCTGAGGAAGGGAGGAACACAAAGTCAGATGGTTTGTGGCCACTTGGGTAGGATGGGGTGGGGGTGGGGGGGCAGTGGCAGTGGTTAGCAGGACAATGATGGTTAGTCACCTCAATGTATAGCCCTCCCTTCCCCCTAAGGCCTTGACTCTTTGGGACTGTTATGAAAAGACATGCTAGAAAGTAGGGGCAAACATGGCCCTGGCCAGGGGCATGAGGCAAAAGCTGTATGTGGAGGGTCTTCCTATTCACAGCTTCTCCTACCCCAGCTCTGTCTCTGGCCTCTTTAGTGACCCTTGACTTTCCCACTCCATGATGTGGCCCCTTGCTCCAGGAGCTTCCTGACTACAGTCTACAGGGTCCAGCCCAGTACTCCTCCTCAAGAAAGGTTTTCCACCCCTACCCACCCTCTAGGCAGCATGTCTTCTTTGTATTGTGATTAGGTGCATCCATCCACTATTCAAAATAGCACTGCCAAGTACATATTACTGACCCTCTAAGTAGGTGGTTCAAACTCACCAGCTACTCCTTGGAAACCCTGTACAGGGTCTCTATGAGTTGGCACTTAACAAAACAGGGAGGTGACTTACTTGAAACCACACAGTAAGTCAGTGACAGAGCTGGCACTGAGCCCAGGCTTCCTGCCTTCCATGGTACCTATGAGGGGGCTTCAAAAAGTGGTGGAAATATTCTATTTTCTCTTCATTCCATTGTGCCATGAACTTTTTGATGCCTCCTTGTATTGCTCTCTTCCTCTGTGTCATATAAAGTGACTTTTCAGATTGAGGGGACCCCTCCTCTCTCTATCCCTAGCCTTATCCTCAGCTTCCCTCCATTTCTCTCCCCTTCTCTTTTCTACTCTTGATCCCTCAAGCCTGGGGAGAAAGAGGAAATAAGAATGGAAGGACAGACACGCTACCAGTGGGATTTATGGTCATTCACTCAACTCCAGGGAGTCCAAGACTTACAATTTCCTCCCAAAGATATTGCTGCAGGAGGGAAATGGTGGGCGCCCCTTCCCCTGAGCCCCACCGCACACTCTCACATGCAGTGCTTTTGAACAGGGCTCTTTCAGGCCCATTTGACCAGATTAGGAGTGGGGTGAGGGTGTTGATAAGGCTTTTAAGTTCCCACATCCATGGTCCCTGTGGACCAGCCTGTCCCTCCTTCCCTTGCCTGACCCTCTCCCCTGGAGCCCACAGTCCCAGGCTTTGCCCTGTGCCCCCCTAGACTGTTCCAGCTGTGTCCTAGCCAGCTCTGCCATCTATTTCTGTCACTGGGCAAGCTCCAACTTTCTGTAATGTCACTGAAGACACTTCAGGATTTGGGGAATTAGGGTGGGAAGGGAAGGGAAGAGCATCAAAAAGTCAGCAGCAAAAGCAAAACAAAATGACAAAAACAGCCACTACCACCACAACAACAACAAAAAATGAAAATCAAAAGCCAAAAAAATCAAATGGCAAAAAGAAAATGGAAAAAAAAAAAAAGAGAAGAAAGAAAAAGAGACAGAGTAGAGAAAATGCCCCAGAATAAAGCAAGGCTCAATAGGACCAGCAGTAGGGGCTATGAGGGAGGAGTACTTAGGAATCTGCTAAGCCCATTTTGAGGGTCAATGGCAGGGGAGCAAAAAGGGCCACCCCAGAGCTCTGAACAACCAGTCCTCGAGCTAGAAACACAGAGTCAAACCTTGAAGACAAAAAGTTTTGAAATTTGGTCCCCCAGGTTTTGAAATGTCCAAAACTATAGAGAAATCATGGGGCACAGAAGTACACTCCCACCCTTGGCTGTGAGAATGCTATGGCTAAACTCTGTATAAAACTGTTTGTTTTCGTTGGCAGCAGGTAATCGATTCTTTGGTATATGAAAAAGCAAGAAAAAAATAATTTATTAGTAAAATTAGCCTATTTGGTAAACTCCTTCCTATAAAGATCCTTACAGAGGAGGAAAATGACCCATCTCTCTGTTATAGTGGAGAGCGGGGGAAGGCTACATGTCAAGGGTAGACATACCCTCTCTGATCAAGCCTTGCTCAGGCCAGAGTCCCCCACCAGAGTGGGAAGCTCAGGCAGGGCTAGGGGGCTCCAGGAAGTAAAAATTTTAAAAAGAACAAGGAAAAAGGAGGAGAAAGAAAAGAAAACCAGCTGGAAGGAGCAGGGAAGAGCCCATGTGGGCAAGTCTTACTGCCTTCTTGCCTGGCCCGTCTCCCAGGGCAGCGACGATGGCAAAGTACTGAATGACCCGCTTGGTGTTAACCGTCTTACCGGCCCCCGACTCTCCGCTTGGACGACACAAACATGAGTCACCAGTGTCCATCTGGCCACTCTAATCCCCCCGAAAGCCCCACCCTCAAACAGGGGCTCCCGCCCTCCCCAACTTCAATTCCCACAGCTCCCAACTCCAAATTCCCAAGAGATGGATCAGTCCTCAGGGATGGTCAGTTGTTTAAAGACCGTCCTTATGAGGTGATGACATTTTTCACTGCACATTAAATGCTAGTTCATCTAACATTGGGGAAAGCCCTATAAGGCAGGCTTCTTTATCACCTTCATTTTATGAATATGCAAATGGAGCTCAGGCCCAGTCATTGATTCTGCATGGCAGGCAGGAAGTAGGAGTATTCTGTTTTTCCTGATGGGGCCATGGGCACACAACAGGAAGTGGAAATGTGAGAATTTGAACCCAGGTCTGTGTGGCTTCAAAATCCTTGCACTTAACTACCAGGCTGAATATGTTGTTGTTAAGTGCCGTCAAGTTGCTTCCGACCCATAGCGACCCTGTACAGGGTTTCCGAGGCTGTAAATCTTTACGGGAGCAGCAGAAAGCCTCATCTTTCTCCCACGGAACAGCTGGTAGTTTCAAACTGCTGGCCTTAAGGTTCGCAGCCCGATTCGTACCACTACGCTACCAGAGCTCCTCACCAGGCTGAATAAGATAGCTGTACACAAACATTCCCGCACAATGTCCGTGTTGGCCTGGCTGAACATGAACGTGACATGTAAAATGTTGCTCTGTAGGATAAGCACTGGACTATGTCACTATGAGTTTGGAACTGGCTGGACAGCACTTAACAAGAAACAACAATACACTGGTCCAGGTGGTAAAAGCTCTAACCTAAACATTTTGGATTCTGACTCTGGGAAATAATTCTGGTTTTACCCCTTTCTGCTAGATGACCATCATTTCCCAACCCGCCCCCAGAGGGCACACTCACGTGATCAGCATGGACTGGTTCTCTCGGTCTGGAAAAAGGGAGAGGGCAGAGAGAAATAAGTCAAGTTACACTGCGCTGGTGCAGCCCCTCCACTCTCGGGATCAGGAATGGGAAAGGCTTGGTGGGGGCCAATACCCACTTAGAGAAGGGGAGGGTTATGCTAGAGTGTCCAGAGGCATTAAAAGGAAGGCCGATCCTCCCTACACCCCAGGAAATGTAAGTGAAAACACGGGGATCCTTTCAGAGGTCTCTCTAGAGAATGGGCCAGGGTTTTAGACATGAGGGATCATTGCGGTCCTTACTGCGCAACATGTCGTTGTAGGCGTTATCTGCCACAGCATATATGTGAGGTGGGGTCGCCGAGCGACGCTTGCCCTTGTAAGCAGCAACCACTGTGGCCGTGTAGACTGGGAGCCATTTGTAGGGGTTGATGGTGACACAGAAAAGACCTGAATACGTCTGAGGAGAGGTTTGTAGTTGGGTTGTCAGAGGTCAGCTTCCTATCCATAGTGCCCAGCACTCAGAACCCTGTGACCCCTGGGATATTCCCCTTTGTTGTTACTGTTAAGTGAGTCGGTTCCAACTCATAGAGACCCTGTATAGGGTTTGTTTGGACAGGTGAGTTTGAACTGCTGAGCTTGCAGTTAGCAGTACAATGTTTATTCTTACATACCATCCACACTCTCTGTGGCTGCCCTGGTCCCTTCCAAGCCCTTATTCCAGCCCTCAGTTCCGCCAAAACAGTGGAGCCTCTAGCCCCGCCCCTCTCAGAGCCCCACCCCATTCGTGGCTCCTCCCCGGTTGGTGGCTCACGTAGATCATCCAGCGTGCATAGCGCTGGCGAAGATTGTGCAGCACTGCTGCCTCGTTGAGGTGCGTCATCATGGCCATATCCTCCAGCAAGTCGAAGCGGGGCGGGTTCATGGGCTGTATCTCGGTTTCGCGCACTGTCAGTACCTGTCAGGAAGGCTATGTCGCATGGGGGCTTCGGAGGTTCTGATTGACATCAGCCTCAACCCCAAACACTCTCAGACCCCCTTCACTCAGAATTAGATCCAGTTGTCAGGGAACTGTACCCTCTGGAATATAGGGGCTAACCCCAGGAAATGAGGAGCCGCACCTTCTGGTCTTTGGTCTCCACGGTTACTTTGCCCCCAGTAGCCTCTGACTTGACCTCGGCTTCCACATAGGCATCCTGTTCGTCTGGCACCCAGACCCGCTTCTTCCCTGGGTTGGGGGAAAGCATTGGGGCTTTGAGAGGGGTTGAGGCACTTTCAAGTGTTAGGGGTGCAGCTCAGCTTTCTAAGCTTGTACCCCATAGATCTGTGTTCTTCCCAGAGCCCCTTTGTTAGGACTCAGAAGTTTCACTGGGTCCCTATAGACTCAGGCTCCTGGAAAGGCAGAGCTGATAGGGTCCCCAGAGAGTTACTCACACCTATCCCCTAATTTCACTGTTGGAGTAACAGGACTACATTGATCCCTGCTTCAGCAAAGTTGATGCATGACCTTGAAAATATCTCATTCTCTATGGGTTTCTTTCTTCAAATGCAAAACATCACAAGGACCTTGTGAAGCCCAGTAGCGCTATAGGATAAGCATTGGACTGCTTAACCACAAAGTTGGTGGTCCGAATCCACTAACCGCTCTGTGGGAGAAAGATGAGGCTTTGGAAATTCTATACAAGGTCACTATGAGTTGGAACAGACTCCATGACACTTAACTAAGGGGGCTTCTGCTTCCCAACTTTCACTGAAAACTCAAACCCAGGTATCTTCCCTCCGTATCCGGTGTTCCTTCCCACCTAGCAAGCTGACCCCAGAGCTCTGCGGAATCCATATTTCATGGTGGTTAAAAGCATGGATATCGCCCACCAGGTTCTAGTCCCTGCTTTGCCACTTATTAGCCAAATGGCTTGGTCAGGACCAGCTACATAATTTGCAAGCCCCAGGGCAAAATTAATATGCATATCCTCTTGTTTAAAAAAAAGATGATTAAATCAAGTATAAGACCACCTGAGGCTGGCACCCTGTCGGACTGCAGAGACTATCCACCGTGAAGCCCCAGCCATGGCCCCCACCTCCCCAAATTGTGGTCAGGATTAGATGACATGATACCTGCAGAGTCCTGTGCTCTGGGCCTGGCACACAGTAAGCAGTGGAACCACATTAACTATTGTTATTATCGTCCTGTGAGCAAATCTGGTCATAAATAGTACAGTCTTTGATCCTTTGCATAAAAAATAGCCACTGTGGCTCCGTGGAAAGTGCTAAAAATAACCCCAGCACACAGACAATCAGCCTCCTCTCAATGGTCTTAGTTCTCACCTACTGAAGCCCCAGGAAGCAAGTGATATTATCCCTACTTAGCTGAAGAGAAAAGCAAGGCATACTCATAAACACACAGTGATGTACAACCTGTCCTGGTCTCAGTCTGTAAAAGCTTCTCTGTGGCTGTGCTCTCTTCACCTGAGCCTTCACTTACCATCCCATGAAATAGTGTGCACCTTCATCATCTCCTGGTAACCCTGGCGAAGGTAGCAGGCAGATTCCCCAAGTTCACTCACATCCATCATGGTGGCACTGAGAGCCGAAGGGCAAGGGGCTAGAAATCCTGAAGGATCAAGGAAGTCCAAGGCCGCAGGCACTGAAAGATGGCAGAGTGACAGGGAGCTTTGGAACCAAGGAGCCCCAAACTGGAACATGTTCCCTTAACCCACAAGGCCTAATGCCAGGTGATTCCTTGGGGCTTCCCACTTCAGCCTCCCTGGGTAAACCCCAATACAAACCCTCAAACATCAGAGCATCCTCTCAACCGCCTGCCCTCCTATCCCTGCTCACTCACCTCAGCACCATGGTGAGGGCTGGGAACTATGCTACCCCTTTTATTGCTTCTGTCAAGGTCAGCGGAGGAGAGCTATGTCAGCAATCTCCACGTGTCACAGCCCCCCCAGCCTGGCCACAGGACACAAAAGGCAAATTCCCTTTTATCTCCACCAGCTTGGCCCCTGGGCTATTTTTACCTCCTATTGTCAGGGGATCACAAAGACAGGGAGAGAGACAGTCTACTGAGAGACAGGGACACTGGGATTCAGGGGCAGGGACTAGGCAGTGAGAGATTTTGGAAGATAGAAGAGCTCAGAGGCAGAAACCGAGTCACCAAGATTCTGACATGCCTAGAAAATGGCCCACACCTCCAGAAACACAGAGCAAGGAAACTTAAGAGAGGGGAACCACAGAATACCTTCTGAGATCAGTTGGTTCAACCCTCCTTCTACAGCCCAGAGATGATAAAACACTAGTCTAGTCTCACAGATAAGCAGTGACAAAGAGCACGTCAAAAAGAGAAGCAGGAGAGACACATTCCTCTCTCGTACATAGATAGCCCCCCATCTATATGAGGAAAGCGCTGTCCCTGGGGAAGTCACAAGTGAAGAAAACCAGACCTGGGGCCCTGGAAATAAATGATCTCGGTGAGAAGGAACCAAATCAAGGAAATTTAGACCAATTTTCTCTTGACATTTAAGATTTACAGAAAGCCAATTACCCACAGTTAGACAGGACTCCACTCTCCCAGGGGCTGGGGTGCAGCTCTCAGTCTGCCTGGTTCAGATTTCAGAGTGTGTCAGGGTGCTTTCAGGCCCTCCTGTCCATTACCCCCATGCAAGCCCTTGTGGTTTCACAGAATTTTAGACTCAGAGAATCAAAGGCTCCAGAAACTTTAGATCTTAGACAAATAGAAATACAGAGTTCCAGAACCAGAATTCCAGTCAAGATGCCACACTGAATTCACACAGAGAAACCCTCTTCTCCAACCCCCATCATGGTCACCAATTCCAGATAGGCAAGCATGTTTTTAGTTGTTGTTGTTGAGTGCCATTTAGTCAATTCCAGCCCATAGCGACCCTGTATAGGGCTTCCAAAGAGCGGCTGGTGAGCTTGAACCGCCGACCTTGCAGTTCAAATGGCTTTGCAGTCTGGCGCATTAACCCACGGTGCCACACCAGTTGTTGTTAGGTGCTGTCAAATTGGCTCCGACTCATAACAACCCTGTGTGCACAACAGAAAGAAACACTGCCCGGTTCTGCGCCATCCTCACAATTGTTATACTTGAGTGTATTACAGCTGCCACTGTTCCAATCCATCTTGTTAGCATTCTTCCTCTTTTTCATTGACCCTCCACTTTACCAAACATAATGTCCTTCTTCAGGGACTGGTCCTTCTTGATAACATGTCCAAAGTATGAGAGACATCCTGGCTTCTTGGAGCATTCTTGCTGTACTTCTCCCAACACAGATTTGTTTGTTCTTCCAGAAGTACATGGTACTTTTGTTATTCTTCTCTAGCACCATAATCCAAATGAGTCAATTCTACAGTCTTCCACTTGAAAATACCATGGTTTGGGACAGGCGCACCTTAGTCCTCACACTGATATCTTTACTCTGGAACACTTTAAAGAGGTCTTGTGCAGCAGATTTGCCTAAAGCAATATATTGTTTGATTTCTTGACTGCTGCTTTCATGAGTATTGATTGTACAGCCAAGCAAAATGAAGTCTTTGACAAATTCAATCTTGTCTTGATTTATCATGATGTTATTTATGGTCAATTTGTGAGGATTTTCATTTTCTTTACATTGAGATGGAAACTGTACTGAAGGTTGTGGTCTTTGATATTCATTAATAAGTATTTTAAGTCCTCTTTCATTACAGCAAGCAGGTTTGCTTCATTTGCATACCACAGGTTGTTAATGAATCTTCTTCCAATCTTGATGAGACACTCTTCTTCATATAATCCAGCTTCTCAGATTATCTGTTCAGCATACAGACTGAATAAGTCCGGTGAAAGAATACAGCCCTGCTTCATCATACCTTTACTACTTTTAAACCATTCAGTATCCCTTTGTTCTGTTTGAACAACTGCCTCTTGGTCTGTGTATAGGTTCCTTATGAGAACAATCAAGTGTTCTGGAATATCCATTCTTTGATATGTATCCATGATCTACATAGCTTGTCATAATCCACATAGTCAGACGCCTTTGTCTAGTCAATAAAGCACAAGTAAACATCTTTCTGGTATTCTTTGCTTTTAGCCAAGATCCATCTGACATCAGAAATGATATCCCTCCTTTTATGTCCTTTTCTGAATTTGATTTGCATTTCTGGCAGTTCCCTGTCAATGTGCTGTCACAGCCATATTTTAGCGATCTTCAAAATTGTACTTGCATGTGACATTAATTATATTGTTCACTGATTTCACATGGGCACAAATATGGATCTTTTCCAATTGGTTGTCTTCCAAATTTTTGACATAGATGCATGAGTGCCTCCAGTGCTGTATCAGTTTGTTGAAAGATTTCAGTTTGTATTCCATCAGTTCCTGGAAACCTTGTTTTTCACTAATGCCTCAGTGCAGTTTAGACTTCTTCCTTCCTCTTGATCATATGCTACCTCTTGATATCGCTGTATCTTTTTGGTACAGTGACTGTGTATTTCTTCCATCTTATTTTGATGCTTTCTGCATTATTCACTATTTTGCCCATAGACTCCTTCAATATTACAGATTGAGACTTGAATGTTTTCATCAGTTCTTGTAGCTTGAGAAATGTTGAGCGTGTTCATTCCTTGTGGTTTTTTAACTCCAGGTCTTAGCATATTTTATTATAATACTTTACTTTGTCTTCTTGAGGTGCCCTTTGAAATTTTCTGTTCCCCTCTTTTACTTCCTCATTTCTTCCATTCACTTTAGCTTCTCTATGTTTAAAAGTAAGTTTCAGAGTCTCTTCTGACATCTATTTTGGTCTTTCATTCTTTCTTGTCTTTTTAATGACCTTTTGCTTTCTCCCTTATGATATTCTTGATGGCATTCCACAACTCTTCAGGTCTTCCGTCATTAGTGTCTAATGCATCAAATCTGATTTTAATATGGTCTCTAAATTCAGGTGGGTTATGTTCAAGGTCATATTTTGACTGTCGTGGATTTGTTTTAACTTTCTTTTTATGTTGTGTGAAAAGATATTTGCAATGAATAAGTCATTGGTTTTACAAAATTCGATCTTGTGATCTCTAGCATCAGCTTGAGGGCTAAGGTGCACCTGACCCAAGCCATGCTATTTCCAATAGCCTCATGTGCATATGAAAGTTGGACAATGAATAAAGAGAAGAACTGATGCATTTGAATTATGGTGTTGGAGAAGATTACTAAAAGAACATGAACTGCCAGAAGACAAACAAATCTGTGTTGCAAGAAGTGCAGCTAGAGTACTTCTTAGAAGCCAGGATGGCAAGACTTTATTTCTCATATGTTGCAAATATTATCAGGAGGGACTGGGACCTAGAGAAGGACCTCATGCTTGGCTAAGTAGAGGGTCAGCGAAAAAGAAGAAAAGCCCCAACAAGATGGACTGACATAGTGGCAGCAGTAATGGGCTCAAGCTTAACAATAATTGTGAGGATGGTGTAGGAGTGGCCGTTGGTTCGCTCTGTTATGCATGGGGTCACTATGAATTGGAACCAACTCAACAGTGCCTAACGACAATGGCGGCAGCATTTCTATCACCAAGGCCATAATTTCCAACTACTGACCCTTCCTCTTCGATGCAAGCATATCAGATAAAATATAGAGAGATAACTTCAAAATTACATATTCAGACCTGAAAAACTCATAAAAGGCACACCTAAGCTATGGTGGTAGATGTGGAGGAGTGGTCCTTCAAAGGACAGTAATGACTAGGAGTCACAAGAAAGGCCTTTGCAGTGTAGGAAATACTCTTTATATTAATCTGCATGTTGTTTACAAAAATGTGTTCATTTTGTGATTTTCATCATTTAAGATTTATGCATATGTTAAAAAAGAGATGCCTATCAAGATAATTCACTGGGGGAAAGAATAGTGTTTTCAACAAATGGTGTTGGGACAAATGGATAACAATTTGCAAAAGAATGAGGTTGAATTCCTAACTTACACCATGTACAAAATTATCTCAAGATGGTTCAAAGCCCTAAACATAAAAGCTAAATTTATAAAACTCTTGGTAGAAAAATGCCAGGAAATCTTTGTAACTTTGGATAAGGCAATATTTTCTTAAATATGATACCAAATGCACAGGTCACCAAAGAAAAATACAGATAAGTTGTTGTTGTTGTTGTTAAGTGCCTCTGAGTTGGTTTCTGAGGAGTATCTGGTGAGTCTGAACCACCGACCTTGCAGTTCAAACCACCCTTGTAGTCCAGTGCTTATCCTACAGTGCCAGACCAGAGATAAGTTAGACTTTATCAAAATAAAACTTTTTTTTTTTTTTTACTTTCAAGGACACCATGAAGAATGTGAAAAGACAACCCAATGAATGGGAGAAAATATTTGCAAATCACATATCTGGTAAGTATAGAACCCAGAATATGTAATGAACTCTTATAACTCAACAACACAAAGACCAATAACCAAATTTTAAAATGGGTAAATGATATGAAAGGCATATTTCAAAGAAGATATTTCCTAGAGCATATAAGCACATGGCCATAAACACATGAAAAAATGCTCAGTGCCATTAGTCATCAGGGAAATACAAATCAAACTTAT